ATATGTCCATCAATAGATGAATGGATAAAGAAATGTGATATATTTCCAAATGTGACATACAGTGAAATACTATGTATCTTTTAAAAAGAAAGAAACTCTGTCATTTGCGGTAATATGTACAGAATAGGAGAACATTATGTTAAGTGAAATAAGCCAGACACAGAAAAAAACTGTACCTAAATACAGTTATGCATAGAAGAAATGTATCTAAGCACAGTTACGGCATATATGCCAAGCCCACAGCTCACATCATACTTAATAGTTAAAAGTTGAAAGTTTTTCTTCTGAGATATGGAACAGGACAGAGATGCCCACTTTCACCACATATTCATACTTAAACATGGAATCTGAAAAGATCAAGTTCATAGAAGTAGAAGTAGGGAGTAGTATGCTGGTTACCAGAAGCTAGAAGTGTGGGTGGGGAGGAAGAAATGAGGAGGTGTTTATCAAATTGTATAAAGTTTTGGTTACACAAAATAATAGGCTTATAAAAATCTATTGCACAGAAGGATGACTACAATTAATAAAAAACATGTCAGATATTTCAAAATAGCTAAGAAAGTAAATTTGCAATGTCTTATCACAAAAAAATAAGTGAAGTGATGGATGTGTGAATTAGATTAATTTAATTATTCCACTTTCTGTACATGCAACAAAACATCACATTATACCCCATAAGTATACATAATTATAATTTGTAAGAAATAATAAAAATAAACCAAAAAATTTTAAATTAAAGAAAATTAACTGTGATATAGATTTGTTTTATTGTTTTCATGTTATTTTAAATAATAATGACTTTCTGGCAGCCTATATAGGCCCATATTTAACTCATTTTCTTTTTTTGCCTGGAAAATACATGGAAAACAGTTTACACAAGTCTGCCTTTCTGAATTAACTTTCTCAGGGTAAAAAGAATCTCATTCTAAAGCCAAAAAAAAAAAAAAAACAAAAAAAAAAAAACAAAAAAAAAAAAACTCCATGGGATTAGAAGAGTAATGTTTAGTCCGTTCCTTAGTTATAAATATTTCATTAGTTAGAAACATTTCCCAATACTCTCATCCAATGTGAGACCTGAATAAGTGTCAAGGCCAGAGTATATTAGGAAGTTTCACCTTCCTGGAGAGAAGGATATTACCATGTTAGATGATGAGAAATCTGCAGCTCATAGAGACCTAGCAATCTGCCCCAAATCATACTGTTACATGACTAGTTGGCCAAAAGTCTTGTCAAAGTTGTTGATCTAAAAAGCAATGCTTCGCTGCCACCTTATGGGCAAATGGAGTAGCTACAAGTCCTACTAGAGTTCATTATAGTTAAACTTGGGCTTAGAGAGTGTCTTTTGCAGATGAAATAAAGTGTTTTGTAAGTCATACTAAGATGTTTATTTCAATTATAACTCACCGAGGATAGTGATTTTTAACAGGTAATATTTAAGTGGAAAATTATGATCAGAAGGCTAAAATGGAGCCTGAGATAACAGTTAAGATGAACAGCAGAATAACATTTTTATTTTTATTTTTTTTATTTTATTTTTTTTTTTGAGGCGGAGTTTCACTCGTTACCCAGGCTGGAGTGCAATGGCGCGATCTCGGCTCACCGCAACCTCCGCCTCCTGGGTTCAAGCAATTCTCCTGCCTCAGCCTCCTGAGTAGCTGGGATTACAGGCGTGCACCACCATGCCCAGCTAATTTTTAGTATTTTTAGTAGAGACGGGGTTTCACCGTGTTGACCAGGATGGTCTCGATCTCTTGACCTCGTGATCCACCCGCCTCGGCCTCCCAAAGTGCTGGGATTACAGGCTTGAGCCACCGCGCCCGGCCTTAGAATAACATTTTAAAAAGACGACTGGAATTAAATGTTCATGGGTTTAGTCAATACGTAAGTTGATGTAAAGAATATGTATTATGGTATATTAAAATTGATTTTGAGTGAAAAAGGTCTTAGAGAGAGTAAGAGCATTAACTTTCACTACATCAAAATATGTGTAGAAGCAAATTTAGAAAAACATAAGATTCATATTTGATAGATTGACTTTCAAGATTCCATAAGGTCCAATGAAATTAAGATGTCCAGTTTCTACTTCTCAAAGAGACATTTAGGGGCCAAGAAGCATGAAAAAAAGCTCATCAGCACTGATTATTAGAGAAATGCAATTCTAAACCGCAGTGAAATACCATCTCACACCAGTCAGAATGGTGATTATTATAAAGTCAAACAATAGAAGCTGGTAAGGCTGTGGAGAAATAGAAACCCTTTTACACTGTTGGTGGGAATGTAAATTAGTTCAACCCTTGTGGAAGACAGTATGGCAATTCCTCAAGGATCTAGGACCAGAAATGCCATTTGACCCAGAAATCCCATTACTGGATATATATCCAAAGGAATATAATCATTCTACTATAAAGACAAATGCACTTGTATATTTATTAAAACAGTATTTACAATAGCAAAGACATTGAACCAACGCAAATGCCCATCAGCGAGACTGGGTAAAGAAAATGTGGTACATCTACACTACGGAATACTATGCAGCCATAAAAATGAATGAGATCAAAAAACAAAAAAAAAGAGTCGTGAGGAAATTTTTAGAGGTGACAGATATGTCTACTGCCTTGATTATGACGATGGTTTCAAGGTTGTATGCATATGTCCAAACTCATTAAATTGCATGTGTGTGTGTGTGTGTGTGTGTGTGTGTGTGTGTATGTGTGTGTGTGTATAAAGATGTCCAGTGCCTGATGCTAAGAATATGGGTACAGTCTCATGACATGGGTAAGTGAGTTATATGTATAAAGGCAACAGAATAAATACAGATGTGAGTGGGATTGTCATGCAGAGGAAGCAGGGTGGGTTAGAAGATAGCAGTGACAAAAACCTAGGTCTAATCAATAACCAAAGGATAAAATATACAGGGAATCAGAGGGAGAAATTTGAAATCACCTGCCAGAGACAGAGGGAGAGAAAGGGAGAGAAGCAATGAGAACACAGGCAGTAACTGTCAGAGCTAGGACCACAAAGGAGACGTTCATTTTACATTAGCAGTTGTAAGGGATCCGTGACAATTATCCTTACGGGTTGAACTGGAAGGTGGCAGTCTTGCATTTAGATGTATGCTGATCTCCTTCACTTCTTTGGGGCTGTCTACTATCAAATGACAGAAAGAAATGTTATTTTTACTGACCTTTTTTCTGGTATGCATTGACAGTTTAAGTCAGTGCTTTCTTATCCACTAAAACGATTTGTAGTATTATAGAGCACAAATCTTATACACTGGAATTTTTAGAAAAAGTAAAACAATGACAAAGTATTCTAGTCTAGACTTCAGGAAGTATCACAGAAAAAAAGAAGTATAAAAACATAACTCCAAAGGCATGATAAAAGATAAAGTCAACTTCTACTTTCAAACAATATGATGCAAGAAAAACCAGTTATCTCCTCCTACCTGAAACAACAAAAAAAAGTTAGACAAAATACGTAAAACAATGACAGTAGGACACCAGGCACCGAAGGACAGATTCCTGCCCAATGGAAAATAAATAAGTTAAACTCTGTGGTTGGCCTTGGTTTTGGCATTATAAGAGATTCTGGGAATAGGAAAGAGGAATCTTGATGAAGCAAATCCGTGTTGAGAATACAGAGCCGAAAGGAAATAGAGACAAAAGTGGCTGGAGTCTGCAGGACTACTGCACAGGAGAGCTGGATAAAAGATCAGAAGATTACCAATTGGTGCTTGTGTGTGAAGAAACTACCCAAAGCAAAGAGAGTCGCTAGAGCGGATTAGAGGTGACAGAGCTCAGATCTCATGCAAGGCTGTTAATAGTGCCTATTTGAGATTTTAAGAATCCACTTGATGACATTAATGGCAAATTAACTATTGCAGAAAAAAATACTTGTCAACAAAGATACAGCAATAATGTTAGAAAACACCTCCCAGGATCCCTGAAATTCTTGGCATCCTTACATAGCCCAGGACTTGGAGCAATGGAAATTGGCATGCTGTAAAACTGGAGAATATCTTGTTTTTCCAAGTGATATTAATTCTAAAGATGAAAAATGAAAAGTGGTTGTTTCCTTCTCACTGGAGCCATGAACTCACCATGTGATCAGCATGGGAGGTTAGATCAAAAATCTAACAGAACATGTGCACACTCTGACCACAGCCTTGCAAGGTATTGAGAGGCAGAATAGATGCTCTTTCCCAAGCCAGTACGGAGCAAAGTTCTGAAGGGAAGAGAGCATATTAGAGCATATTATTAGTCTGCTATACATATAGAAGTAAAAAATATATATGAAGTATAACAGAGAAAAAGGTGTCCCACATTTTAACCCTTTCAGAATTTAAGAAAAAGACTGATGACCAATGGGCCATTTATGGATATCAACAATGTAGGTTTTCTTCGGCAAAATGGATCTGGTGAGAATGTGGGGTCCTGTTGATCAAAGCTGCACATGTGTAAATACCTGTGTTTCAAGGCTGAGTCCAAAAGGGAGGATGTCTAATGAGGAGTTTGCAGAAATTAGGCAACAGGCACCCTACAAGCAGAGTACAATGTCCTATAATTCCTATTATTTGTTTTTTTAAAATGCCAAAGAAATATGGCGGAAATTTTTGTCATGTTCTTTGGAAGATAATCTGGAGGCTTGATGTAGTTTACTTTATTGTTATTAGCATTAGAGAGCTGATTAATCCCAGTATTTGCCTTTGACCCATGACTCAAATTCTGAATTTGTTCTCCTTAGATTTTTAGACACAGATCTGAGACACAAGTCAATCAGACTTTCATAAAAGTTTATTTATTAGGGAGACTGTGGAATGCAATGAATCAGTGAGAGGAGAGGTCCATGGAAGGAACCTTGAAGCCATCTGCTACAAGCGCAGTAGTAACAGCTCTTTGTCATCAAGAACAAATGCAAATAGATGTAAAAAGTGAAAGAGAAAGATTGGAGACATGGAGGGGAAAAAAAAGAAGGGATCTTCCCCATTCAAGTCCACTCAGCTAACATTTTCCATCATGGTAAAACCTGAGCTTTCCATGAGATTTCCTAAAGGAAGTATTAGAACAAACATTTTATTAAGTAATACAATGTCAGAACTACAAAAATACTTTTAAGTTACCTCATCTAAAACCTGACTTTATATTTTGAAGAAACTAAGATCCAGAGTATAAAGGAAATTGACTAATGACAAAAGACAAAATTATTGGATTTCTTATTTAGTTCTCATTCAGTGATTCTAAGATGCCACTGAAGATATTATGACACATGCTGCAATCTTTTTTAAATTAAGCTGTGTAATCAGGTCTGAGTTTGTGATACGTGAGGCATATCAGTCATCAACTATTCTGTTAATACCCTCACACTGTATTACTCATTAGTGGGGTCGAATTACTTATTAGTGAGAATGAGCTGGGCTTTGTACATTCCTGTGATTGCTCCTTGCACCGAATTAAAAAACGACTGGACTAAAGGCTCTGATATGATACTATGGGGAAAATTTTCCTCTCTGTGAAATGCACTCACTCATATAGGAATAAAAGCTGAAAGCACTGTGTTACAAGATTTCAATGTCTAATCACTGATTTATGTCATATAAATCCAAAAATCTAAACATTGTCTCAGATAAAACACCCAAACTTTGCAATTACCTCATCATTGTAGTTCAGAGTTTCAAACACTTGAGAGGAGGAAGTTATTTAAGAGGAAGCAAAGCTACAATTTGTCTTAAATTAAAAATCATTCAGGGCTTGAAGGGATATTTGAGAGTTTCTTAAGTGGAAGTCAATCAATTGGCATATGAGAACGTAAGGGCTCAGATACCAGAAAGGATCTGAGGAATGCCATTTGGTACAATGAGTCTGCTTTCTAATCCAGTGGACTTTCTATTACTATGTGCTTTTCTGAGTGGGGGCTGATTATTATCTGTGTGACCTGGAGCACAATTCTGGCTTTAAGGCTGATGTACTTGATAGATGGTAATCGCTACAAACAAGCATATTTACAGTTCCCTTCTTTTCCCCAAGTAGAACTCACAAGCTCTCAACACACAGGATGCAGGGATTATCATAGGTTATAAAATTGGTGCCACAGATGGATTGATATAAGACAGGGCAGGGGTTGACGGTTCTATTAAACCAACTCAAGTTTACTTTCTTATGTGGACATTTCACCTGAAATTGAGTTGCAAAGATTTATACAATTAGAACCTCTCTTAGACAGGTAGGTCACCTTTGAACTTCATTAGGAAAATCTAAGCATAGTCCAAGTGTGGTGGCTCATGCCTCTCATTCCAACACTTTAGGGGGCTGAAGTGGGAGGACTGCTTGAGCCCAGGAGTTCAAGACCAGCCTAGGCAGCAGAGCAATACCCTGTCTCTCCAAAATTTTTATTTTTAATTAGCCAGGCATGGTGGTGCATGCCTATAGTCCCAGCTTCTCAGAAGGCTAGGGCAGGAGGATCACTTGGGCCTAGGAGGTTAGGACTGCAGTGAGCAATGATGGTGCCACTCCACTCCATCTTAGGCAACAGAGTGAAATCCCATCTAAAAAAAAAATTCTGAGCATAGCCCAGACCATATGTCAGTCCTACGGAAGCTCTCACTTTCCCATCTCCACAAAGCCATGAAACCAGAACCTATATGTATCTCTTTTGGTGAGAATATGATGCCCTTGTTGTCAGGACCTTCTCACTAAAGGAGAACAATGACCAGCTCTGTTATGGTTAAAAAAAAAAAAAAAGTGTAGATAAACAGATGATTTATCTGGAACTTCTCTCTCAATCTTCTTTATGCCCCAACTATTAGATCTGGAAAGATTCTTAGAGATTTTCTGTGACAGCTCAGCTAAGAAAACTGAAGATCAATAACTGAAGAATACACAGGCCTTCATTTAAACTGTTTATTACATTTTATTCACTTTCTAAATCCTCAAGCCATCTCCTATTTCAAAGTTGTGAAGTGCAAAGTCATTAAGACTAATGCCCTGACACTGTAGGGAAAATTGAAAACAAAGGAAGGGACATGTCTCATGAGGGACCCTGACCCAGGGATGCTTGTTTTCAGGGGAAATTCTTCTCTGGACAATGATGGTGCTGGTGATGACTTGAAGCAGCGACTCTGAGATTTACGAAGCTTGAGGCTAGTGTACTCAGGGGCTCTATAAATGCCATATGATTGGTACAAATAAAGTAACTCACACACAAGGTAGGAGAAAGTTTAGGCTGGAAAATTGGAAGGAAGAGGGTCATGTTTTAACATAGAAATTCCTCTTCCTTCTTTTTTTATACGACATCACCATCATGGCCAGGCCACCATTGTTATCCAATTAATCCCTCCATTCCCTTTATTCCCCATTTCGTGAAGTTTCACAATTTAAACTTCTCTGAATCATTTTATTTCCTTGATAAATGTTCTTTCATTGAAACTCATTGCACATTATAAAAGTCTTTCTTAATATGGGCTAAAAGTCCCTACGTGACCTGGAACCTCCCAAGTCTTCTACCCTTACATTATACTACCTTGCTTTCTACCTTTTTAGTAAGTTTTTTGAATATATACAGCCTTTATCTTCCCCTCACCTCAAGGCCTTTTTGAAGTGTCATGACCACCTCGCCAAATATATTTTCTCTGAACCTAAAGTCAGTCTATCTTTAGAGCTCAGGTTATAACCCACTTTCTCAGAGCTATTTATTAAAATACAGTCACCACTCTCTGTTATTTATTTTTATACTTTTAATCAGTTTGTAGCAAAGCATTTGTTTAATTATTTAACTAATCCCATACCTCTAAAGGACTATAAGCCCTTAAGGGAAAGATTTGTGTCTGATTAGGCTAGTCATTATGTACCCAGTATATATATTGGCATTTAGTCATTGCTATATAAACATTTGCAAAATGAATGAATGAGATATAAGATAGTTCAATCTGAAAGAATATATAGTTGCCAAAGACAAGGAGAGTAGTTTATATTGTTGTCTATAAATATAGCTTGTTTTTTCTCTTTGTCTTTAGAGGAAGATATGCATTCATCAGGTGAGAATCTCACCTGCTGCTCTTACTGTAACATCTGCCACTTCTCCTCCTTGTCTGTGCTCCAGTCACACAGGGCTTCAATTAGTGACCCAGGTGGTGAGGTCTTTCTCCTCACTCTCCACCTGGGTGGCTCCTTTTTGTCCTTTAGTTCTCACCTTAGACCTCCCCATAACAGAAAACCCTTGCCTGAACCCATTGTTTATATCTCTATGCTCAACAGATATTCTCTATCATACCATTTTATTTCTTGTATTCATAAACTTACCATAAATCGTTGTTTTCTTCATTTTTTGGCTATCTGTAAGCTTCGTAAGAAAAAGGAATATAACTTCTTTCCTCAATATTGTATCTTAGGGCACAGCACAGATGATTAATAAATATTTGTTAAAGAAAATAAGTAAAAATGAATGCATTTATTATTATTTATGGATTATGGGCATGAGGAGGATTCAACCTGCAGGTAACCTTCTGGAGAAGGAAATTCTAGAACTGAACTTTATGAGACCAGGGTATAAATCCTGGAAAAATTGTGCAGATCCTTTTCCTGGGGTAGTAGCCTCTGACAAGTTTTACACTGTGATCCCTGAGTCTCTTGAAGGTAGAGTTACCCTCAAAATATCTTTCTCAACAGTCAACTCACGACTGACTTTTTTACAAAGGAGAATTTACAAATTTAATTCATAACTTTAAAATTCATAAATTTAAAATTTAAGAATGAGACAGAAGCTGAAGCTGCTAATACTTCTAAAGGGAAGGAATACAGTGATGCAAATGTGAATCAAAATGAAAAGTTTAATCCCTCATTCACCTTTTCCCTCACTTATCAAACATCAATTGACCTCACATTACACGCAGTGCTCGGAAAGGTGGACAAAAATGAAAAAGATTTCTCCATTTTGCCCTCATACACGTTGCAAACATAATTTGAGGCTCCTTTCAGATATCTACTATGCCTCCACATTTTCTTCCATCCATATCCGGAAGTTGCCTTCTCCATTCACAACTTGCGTAGGCATTCTCTGTACATCTCAAGACATTAAGGAGCATTCTTTTCAGTCATTCTTTCCATCAAACTGTGAGCCCCTTTAGAGCCAGGACCATGTTATGCCCAAGTCCATAGGCTCTTAAGAACCTGTCATGCTCCTGGCAATTGTCAATACTCTTAAATATTTTTCAGGCACTACAGAGAGTTCTCTGGTGTATATGTGACTGAATGTTGTCTTGGTTCCAAGTCTGTATCTCAACTCTGGGGTACTGTTTCAGCAGTGTATTCACCACCGTCATACAAAGAAGTCTTGAAGAATATTATGGATGACCTTGATGCATTAAGTTTCCACAGTAACAATTCCAAAAAAAAAAAAAAAAAAAAAAAAAAACCTCATATTATAAGGTCAGTCCAGGGAGGAAATTTGATGGAATGTTACCTTAATAACTCCATGTGGTGGCCACCAGTGTCTAGGGCCTGAAACTAGAGAATACATGAAAATAGTTACAGAATCTAATTCCTGGTGAATCATAGCTTAATCTGTTGGCAGAATAAAAGAGTTCTAATTTATTATCAAGGAAGCTTGCAGCAATGGAAAACATTATCTCATTTATACATGTATTCATTAATGTTTTTTTAAATGTGTAATAACTCTTTTTCTCCTGGTTGATATTAGCAGGGCATTACATAGATGCATCACTCTTTTCATGAAGGCTGGCAGTCCAGTGTACTAAATAATTTTTCTAATTAGCTTGGACTTGAGAGGATTCAGAGCTTGTATGAAAGAAACAAGCAATGCTGTGACTTTAAAGTGATTTTGGACCCAATCCACATGTTTTTTAGAGTGAAATGACACCTGTGTAATACTCAGGAATTCTTGGTAGGTATGTGAAAAAGCAAGCTCTCCAGCCCTTGAGGCTAGTTCTCCTTATGACTCCCTACACGATTTCTTCTCTAGAAGAGGATAAAAGATGATGGTCCTTTGTAGGGACATGGATGAACCTGGAAACCATCATTCTCAGCAAACTGACACAAGAACAGAAAATCAAACACCATATTCCCTCACTCATAGGCGGATATTGAACAAGGAGAACACATGGACACAGGGAGGGGAGTATCACACACTGGGGTCTGTGGGGGGGAAATAGGGGAGGGACAGAGTTGGGGAGTTGGGGAGGGATAACATGGGGAGGAATGTAGGAATGTAGGAATATAGGTGATGGGGAGGAAGGCAGCCAACCACACTGCCATGTGTGTATCTATGCAATAATCTTACATGTTCTTCACATGTACCCCAAAACCTAAAATGCAACAACAACAACAAAAATAATGGTCCACTCAAATACACAGCAAAGCATTTTCAAACATTCTAAATTTTTATGACGTGCTCTGATGTATGCATATCATATTGCTAATCATTTTTACATGTTACCTCATGAGTCACTCAAGCCTCTTTGCCCCCATGAGTTAAATCTCATAATAATCTGCATGCAAAAGATGACGAAATGAAGTTCTCTGCCCATTGAATCGGAGTCTGTTAGAGTACACCACATCATCTCTCAAAATATACATATATATTTTGAGAGTGTATATATATATATATATATATACATATACACACACACATATGTATATACTCTGAATATCATCTCTCAAAGTGTATATGTATATAATTTTACTTTTCAAAGTATGTATTTAAAGTATACTGTAACTTTAAAGTGATTTTGGGCCCAATCCTCATATTTTTTAGATGATTTTAAGAAAAATTTCAAAGCATTCTCTCTCAGATTACTATGTAAAAGCCTGCAAATCAATTTCAACTGCTGGTCCAGACCAGCTGAATTACTCACCAGAAGATAACACCAAATGTATCAAGATAAAGGACAAAAGTGAGAATGCTGGAAAATATTTGGCTATTTTTCCTCCTGGGGTGTCTCTGGAATGATGCGCTGTGATATTGTCTCAGGTTGTTGCCCTCTAATATAATCACTGAAGTGGAGACTCGAGATTTAAGACAACTATTACAATGAAGACCCATCTCCAGTCTGCCCACTGTATCCTCAGTACTTTGTATTTGGAAAGCCTATTCCACTCCTTCTCAGAAACAAAGGTTTAAAAAGACAAACCTTGAATAACAATCTTGATTAAAAGTATAGAGCTCAGTAACAGATCTTTGAATCCTCAGAATTAAATCACAGACCACTCTAGGGGCATAACTTTATTATTTTAGTGGGAAGGTATTTTACAGGTCATGAGGTAGCAACTCCTTCTCTGAAGCTTCACCTAAATTTAGTTTTTGAGGGGATGAAAAAAGAATATGGGTCTACTGAGGTCCCCAGACAATATGGACTTCTCAATAAATGGAGTAGTAGGTCTATACTTGCTCCTCAAGCAATGAATACCTCTTTGGATTAAGACAAATATTTCTGATAATTCAGGCATGCTTGACTATACTGAGACTCTTCTGATATTGAATCCTAGACTCTTTGAGGACATTCACAGGAGAAAAATCATTCCCTGCCATCTCACTGGGGTCCCACAGCTATTTTAACCCAGACATAGAAAGGGAAAAGTCAGTGAGCAAATTCTCCCTAAGGATGGCCTTTTCTTGTAGCAACATTTCTGATCCCCAAGAATGGTATCTGCAGATTCCAGGGTTGACCAATGACCACATTTAACTCTACCTCAATTCCTAATCCTACAAAAGTGGCCTGATCTTCCATATGTTCACTAGGCTTTTATCTCTGTCGGCAACACATGTCAGTGGGTAATTATATAAACTCTACTGATACGTTATAGTGTGGCAGGTGTTATTGTTATTTAAGACATTAAAATGTAGCCAGGATGATTAGAAGTCCTTTGCCCACTGTGCAAGGTTGCCTACTCCTGTGCCTACTCCTGGCAGAGTCTGGGACACCATGTTTTTGCTAAACACATCCCCATCTCATCCTGATATTTTCCCTGGATTCCTCCAGAAATGGAGCAGGAACAGGAGAAGTTCAGGGGCAGCCAGAAGACTAAAGGAAAACACGGAGGCTCACTCTCTCCATCCCTCATGCCACAGCTGACCCACCTCAGAAAGAAGAGAAAAGGAAGAGGAATGTAATGTGCTGCTTTTAAGAGGCATGCCTTAGGTCCTCAGGAGGGGATGGAATAACTGCTGCGTAGGAGAGAAAAGTCACTGAGGCATCGTGTGCTGGACTGAGCAGGGCATGGAAGCCCATCATACAGATTGCATCAAGGTCAAACCTCAGCAGGGGAGACATGAGGGGGTAAGAACAGATCACTGGAAAGGGCAGCCATTAGGCAATTCAAGAGAGGCAATAGCGTGAGAAAACACACCACAGTAGGAGACAGCAAGGAGAAAAATATGACATGTTCCACAACAATAATTAGCACTTAGGACCAGAATTTAAAATGCGTGGAAACGCCTAAGAAAGAGAAGGCTGGTAGAGGAGGTTTCAGCAACAGATGAGATCCTTGGATACCATTTGCTGTAAGTCCAGCCTTGTGCCCGTAGTGATCCAGGGCCTCTGCCATTTTAACAGGGAAGATATTTTATTATAGCTAAGTTCCTCCTGTTATCTGAACTTCTGGCCTCTACCATTTCTTCTGTAAAAAGTTACCTTTCTTACATAAAACCAATACATGCTCACTTAGAAAATTTATAAAATAGAAATATAAAAGACAGGGAGGTGCAGCAGGTAAAAACATACAAAGAAATGGCCAAATAGAAATATACAAAATAGGAAATATACAAAATGAAATAGAAATATACAAAATAAAAATATGCAAATGAAATAAAAGGTGTAAAATCTCACAGCCCAGAAGTACCTATTAAATAAATGTAAAATTAATTCTAGTTTTAAGATATGTATATATATATATACATAATCACACATGTACATATATGTTTTTTACAATATTCAACTTTTACAATATATCTTGTTTTTTCACTTAGAAATGGACTATAACATTTTCTTGCTCTCTAAATATAGTTATATTGAACATGAATTTAGATGCCTGGTGTCATATTCCATCGCATATATGGATTTTAACTATACTAATATTCTTTAATTGTTGCTCAATTAGGGTGATGTCCGTTTTTTATTGTTGTTAATGGTGCTAGCATAGGTAAGTTTTTATTTACCTCAGTTAATTTGTCTTTTAATATTTCATTTTAATAAATGCCTGTAAATAAGCCACCTGGAAACTTCCAGAAAGAACTTAGGTCACCTAGAATATGAGAGAGGTGGTCTTCATTCAATTTGTGAGCTTCATACTTGTAATCTTACATAAAATACTTTGAAAACACCCTGTTATCTTCCTGAGTAAATCATTTATTCCCCAATTTGGAAAGGCAGAGGTACTCTGTTGTTTAGAAAGCATTCTGAATGCAGAAACAGAACATCAAGTTATAATGTTTTGTCAACTTGGAAAATAATTTATTCTATCTGGACCACAGAATTTTCCCATTTGCACTGTTGGGAGTCACACGTTCTATCAAGTGCTCTTTGGAGGTTTAATTGAACAAACACTTAAACAGCTTTGAAAACTCAGACAGATAAGCCACCAATAAATGCTATTTTAATTTGACTTCTTCGCAGCCACTATATGGATGTGAATGTTGTAAATCCAGAGGCACAGATTCATTTTATGGCATTCAAAAATAAGTGTGAAATTACTTCCCGTCTGAGAATAAATAATCTACATTTTTTTTTACTTAGTTTTGTTGCAAATTTTATTATCAGAGCATCACACATAAGGTGATTTCTCATAGGCCTTCTACAGTTTGGAATTCTGATTTTTCAGGAACTGTGAGTGGCCCTGGAAATATAGCTGTGAAAACTATTGGTATCACCCTTACCCTAATGGAGCTTAGACCACATTAGGGGAAAGTCATTACACAAATAATTACTCAAGGAAGGTAGACTTGAGGAGGAAATTTCCAATATTTGAGTTTTCTGAATCTTGTGACTTTTAGATATTAATGATGACCCCTGTGCTTCTCATTCATATTAGCATTGATAAATCAAACAATAAAATGCCACATATTCAATATTTTAACTACGTAAAACTGAAACAAAATACTCTAAGATAAAGAGGATTGCATATTATGACCACATGGCTCTATTTAATAGATGTAAAAATAAGATAACAGAAAGAAGTCTATAAACATTGTTTAAACCTGAAGCACACTGAGGAAAAGCCAGTGCTACAGGAAATAATTAAGGCTAGAATATCTTTGCCTTTTCCAAACTCCCCCAAATTTCAGTTCAACTAATATTGGGAGAAGAGAATAAGTGAGATTAAAAGATCATATGTCCCTCAGAGAATCCTTAGTCTATGATTTTGTCATCATCTATCACACCTAGTCTAATTCCAAAAGCTACGGCTTAGGGCTTTCTCACTGAATTCCAGGCTCCCTAGCTGTGAAGTAATTAAATTTACGTGTGTCAATTTCACCTCAAATCCACATCTTCAAAAACCATTGCCTCCTCCTGTTGTCCAAAGCAGATTCTTATCACTTTTCAGGGATGCAAAAACCCTTCTACTGTCACTGGATTGATGTAAGGCTCTACTTTCTTCCTGCAGAAAGTCTCAGCTCTACTGCCAGTGGATAGCACTTTCATAGTTTACCTCATTCTGATGACCAATTATACTTCCAACACAGTACTGATGAGCTGCCAGCAATGCTTTATCTATCACAGTAAAAGCACTAGATACCAAGCAAATAATCATTCCCATCCAGGCTGTAGGATTAAGCCTTCCCCTTCTGAAGGATTTTAGGGAAGCCCTAGGACAGCATTAACTAGACTTGTACATTCTCCAGCACTAATCTGGACCACTGGTTTGGAGAACCAGTTATTTGGACTGACCAAGATGGTTTTATGGCCTTAACCTTCTCTTTGACTCAACTGAACTGATAAACTTCTTAACTCCAGACCCCTGATCTACGTTTTGTTGTAGAGGATTTACTTTAGAATGTGTAACTCTAATTTCTTTATATATCCCTTTGAGTTGTAAATCCTTTTAGAAGCCTCCTGCCAGTTTAACAACCCAGGACTGCCTTTCTCAGTGGTCTGGGAGCCATTCCTTGGAAATGTAATCATCAAGACAAATAATGCTCGTATCTACTAGTTTCTGTGGAAGGGTACAGATCTACCTTCCAGGGTGATAAGCACCTTGCTCCAAGTTGCAAAAACACCTCCTCTCATAAAGATATGAGTTTATTTTTGCTTTGGATGAAGCCAATTAGCAAACACAGATGGCCTATGATTTCCCCATATTATCCTCCAGTACTTTGCATCAGCTCGCCCCAGCCCTTTAAAACCTTCTCATTTCCTTTGTTTCGGTGAGTTGAGTTCAGACTGAGTTCTGGCCTCTTTTCCTGATTGCAATAACCTTAAATATAATACTTCTTGCTCGTGTAACTTTGTCAGCTTTATGTTTGCTTCAGAAGAATACCACATACCAAATAACAGATTTTGTTACCTTTTCTCTTTGGATCGCATCACTAACAAAATGAAAAAGCAAAACATTTTTGTTTTGTTTAATTTTTACTTTTCCCCTAACTCCTTTAGAGGGTTTGTTAGTTTGTTTTCATGCTACTGATAAAGACATACCTGAAACTGGGCAAGGGGATCATATGCTGTGATCCCTATACCCAGTACATCAGAATGTGTCAGTATTTGGAGATAGGGTAGTCAAGGGAGTAATTAAGGTTAAATTAGGTCACTGGGGTGGGCACGAATTCAGTATGACTAGTGTTCTTATATAAGAAGAAAAATTAGGACAAAGATAAGCAAAGAATAAACACCATGAGAAGGCTCACAAAGAACATTGCCATCTATAAGCCAGAGATAAGTCAACCCTGCTGACACCTTCGTCTCAGACTTCTAGCTTTCAGAGCTGTGAGCAAATTTCTGTTGCTTAAGCCATCTCGTCTGCAGTACTTTATTATGACAGCCCTTGCAAATTAATACAGTTGCATGTTTAGAGAACTTAGATTCACAAACAGTTGAACATGCTTTTAAATAGCTCATTTGACTTTTCTGAAGCACTTTTAAATTGCATTGAACCATAAGTTTGACAGAGAGATGGTAAATCTGTTTTTGAATTTCAAAATTAAATTATTTATATGGCAAAATATTAACGGCAAAATCTTGGAGGCAGGTATATGAGTTTTGGCATGACATTCTTTCAACATTTTTGTATTTTCTGATGTTTAATGATAAATTATTGAAAAAAAATTAAACAACTAGGAATATCATTAACGGCAAAATCCTGGAGGCAGGTATATGAGTTTTGGCATAAAATTCTTTCAATGTTTTTGTATTTTCTGATATTTAATGATAAATTATTGAAAAAAATTAAACAACTAGGAATATCACTCACTTTCATTAATTGATTAGTAACGGATTTGGAGAAAGTTAGAGTCCATTCTTGACCAACTGAGATCTTCATGATTCAGAGAAAAATGTAATACTTTTCAAAAATGTTTTGTAACTTGAGAATTTTAAAAATCTCAAAAGCAGTTATTAGCTATCACTAGTAAATACTCATTCAGCCAATTGAAGAGGTCAAATTAAATTTTCTTTGCATGTCTAATTCAATCTCTGAAGCTCAATTTTCTCATCTGCAAAATGGTGCTAATGACACCTACTTCTTTTTATCGGCATGCAGCCTGCATGTAATCAAAGGCAGAGTTACCTCATGTTTATTTTTGTGTCCACCTCAACACGTAGTACATAGCATCAATGGTCTTTACAATTTGGTATGTTTTTGCAGTGGCTGGTACCCCTTGTCCCTTTCCATGTTTAGTGTTTCCTTCAGGAGCTCTTGTAAGGCAGACACGATGATGACAAAGTCACTCAGCATTTGCTTGTCTGTAAAGGATTTTATTTCTCCTTCACTTATGAAGCTTAGTTTGGCTGGATATAAAATTCTGGACTGAAAATTATTTTCTTTAAGAATGTTGAATATTAGCCCTCACTCTCTTCTGGCTCATAGGATTTCTGCTGAGAGATCTGCTGTTAGTTGAATGGGCTTCCCTTTGTGGGTAACCCTGCCTTTCTCTCTGGCTGCCCTTAACGTATTTCCTTCATTTCAGCCTTGGTGAATCTGACAATTATGTGTCTAGGAGTTGCTCTTCTTGTGGAGTATCTTTGTGGTGTTCTCTGTATTTCCTGAATTTGATTGTTGGCCTGCCTTGCTAGGTTGGGGAAGTTCTCCTGGATAATATCCTGAAGAGTGTTTTCCAATTTGGTTTCATTCTCATAACTTAATCCTCATTGTAACCTGTAAGATAGAAGTTATTAGTCCCTATTTTATAGAATAAACAAGGACCCAGAGAGATAAAGTATCATTTTCATTGTCATAGAGTTAGTGAGTGACAAAGTCAGGATTTGAGCTTAGATCTGTTCAGTTCCAAAGTATCTGCCCTGTTGTGGGATGGAAAATACCTGGTGTTCCTGCCTTTGCTACTTCTGACCTATGCTTATGACAGGAATTACCAATCAACTATAGAATTCTTTGCTGTTGGTTCCAGAGGTAATTTGATGTTTTGCTTCATTTTTAATTTTAGATTCAAAGAGTGCATGTGCATGTTATTACAGGGGTATATTGTAGGCTTCTAGTGTACCCATCAAACAAATAGTGAATATTATGTCAAATAGGTAATTTTTCAACCCTCACCTCTCTCTCATCTTCCTTCTGGAGTCCTCAGAGTTTATTATCTGCCTTTATGTCCATGAGTGCCACTTATAGCTGAGAATATGCAATATTTGATTTTCAGTTTTTGAGCTAGTTTACTTAGGGTAATGGCCCCCAATTCCATCCATGTTGCTACAAAGAACATTCCTTCCTTTTTATGACCACATAAGATTCCATGGTGTATATATACCACATTTTTGATCCAATCAACTGTTGATGAATACTTAAGTTGGTTCCATGATTTTGCTACTGTGAATTGCACTGTGAAAAATATCCTAGTGCAGGTGTCTTTTTAATATAATGATTTATTTTCCTTTGGTAGACACTTAGTAGTGGAGTTGCTGGGTCAAATCATAGTTCTACTTTTAGTTCTTTGAGAGGTCTCCATACTGTTTTCCATAGAGGTTAAAATAATTTATATTTTCACCAAGAGTGTGTAAATATTCACTTTTCTCCACATCCTTAGGTCTTTCTGAAACCTGAAAGAAATGGGAAGGCTTCAGGAGGACAAATATATTGGCAAAATATTTTTGAGATTAAAATAAAAAAAAATCACAAGAAAATTAATGTAATTGAATTAGAGAGCTTACTGAATAAGCAAATTCTGACAACTTACTGTTTTATAATAAATAATGATAATAAGCATTTATTAAGAACTTAATATGTATGATATCTTCAGTTTGTGACATTCATAAGCTATATTACTTAATCCTCATTGTAACCTGTAATATTGAAATTATTAGCCCCCATTTTATAGAAGAAATGAAGATGGCTTCATTTCCAGTCTTCTGTTTGAGAAAAAGGAGTTTGAAAAAAATAGATCTCTGAAAACCCCTAACACAAAATGCAATCTGAAGATCAAATTATATAGAGAAATGCATAAGCACATGGTAGTAGTAGACAGGTGGGGCTGACGGAAATATTTTTGCTTTCTTTAGCTCCATCTCAGGATTATTTATCACCTCCTGGTTTAGAATTTTCGATTTAGTTTAGAAGCTTCAATGAGATGGTTCTGGTTTCCATTTACCTCTTGCCCATCAGGATATAACTTAAGTAACTCAAAGATTAATTTACTTGATATTTAATGCAGCCATTTATTTGTTACCATTTTGACATAGATGAAAATTTATATATACTCCTGGTTTGCATACCTTCAAAAAAAAAATCAACTTTCAGCTTTTTAAATCCCGAATAATGTGTTCTACACATTCACACTCTTAATCCCAATCCTTGAGCCTCACTGTATTTTTAACTTTATTTTCCTTGACCTTTTTCCTTTACTGACCTCTGCATCCTCCCCGCCCCTCACCTTTGATTCTTACTCCTGAGGTCACTGGGCCTCTCCTCATTCCCTTGTCTCATCCCATTCTAGACTATTATATCCTCTACCCCACTCTATCCCTAAGTTGAACTCTTTCTCTGTACTGAGTGATTGCCAAGAATTGGTTAAGTCTTAAGGATGGGATAAAAATTTCTTTTGAGCATAATAATAATGATAAAATAAATATAAAAGATTTATGTTTATATTCTAATCAAATATTCAAAATGACATAACAAAACACCTTTTCAGAAAAGCATATGTTTTAGCCAGAAGAAGAGAGTTTCTGGATTTCCTAGACGTGAACGGGAAGAAGATAGAATCCCATATATCATGAGCTCTCTGAACGCATGCTCAACATCCTAAAATTGCCAAATAATAATAATAAGAATTCAACAGGAATTACTTCATATTTTTCATGCTTGAAAAAATTATTCAGAGGCCCTTCTTTTTTTTTCTTAATGTAGCATAGAAAAGAATGCACCATAATGAATCATTTATTTTCACTCAGTTACAAAGGACAAAGATCATCAAATCCTACTATAATAGAGCTAGTAGAGACTTAAAAAAAAAAGTTAGAGAGGAAAAATAAAAAATTAACTTCCCAAATCCAAGTAAATCTGTCACATCAGGCTAGTTCTTCTGGAGCTGAGAACACCTTGCCCCATAATGGATTTTCCATATAATTTCTCCCTATGGAGTGTATTCAGCACCAGCCCAGAATTTTCAACTGAACAAAGAGATTAGGTAGACTAGGGAGTTATAGAGTTTCAGCATAGAGGCAGGCAGTTACAAGCATTTCATCCACCCCTATATAATGCCTGCCTTCCTACTCTGATTTCCCATGTCCATTAGCTCATGGCAGCACTGCATTGCCTGATATGGTGACCACTATTCACATGTATCTACTGAGCACTTGAAATATGGCAGGTCCCATTTGCAATTGCTACAAAGAGAATAAAATGCCTAGGAATACAACTAACAAGGAACGTAAAGGACCTCTTCAAGGAGAACTACAAGCCATTGCTCAATGAAATAAGAGAGGACACAAACAGATGGAGAAACATTCCATGTTCATGGTTAGGAAGAATCAACATCGTGAAAATGGCCATACTACCCAAAGTAACTTACAGATTCAATGCTGTTCCCATCAAGCTACCAATGACCTTCTTCACAGAACTGGAAAAAAACACCTTAAACTTCATATGGAACCAAAAGAGAGCCCACATAGCCAAGTCAATTCTAAGCAAAAAGAACAAAGCAGGAGGCATCACACTACCGGACTTCAAACTATACTACAAGGCTACAGTAATCAAAACAGCATGGTACTGGTACCAAAACAGAGATACAGACCAATGGAACAGAACAGAGGCCTCACAGGAAATACAACATACCCACAACCATCTGATCTTTGACAAACCTGACAAAAACAAGCAATGGGGAAAGGATTCCCTGTTTAATAAATGGTGTTGGGAAAACTGGCTAGCCATGTGCAGAAAGCAGAAACAGGACCCCTTCCTGACACCTTACACCAAAATTAACTCCAGATGGATTAAAGACTTAAACATCAGACCTAACACCATAAAAACCCTAGAAGAAAATCTAGGCAAAACCATTCAGGACATAGGTGTAGGCAAGGACTTCATGACCAAAACGCCAAAAGCAATGGCAACAAAAGCCAAAATAGACAAATGGGACCTAATCAAACTCCACAGCTTCTGCATGGCAAAAGAAACAGTCAGTAGAGTGAATCGGCATCCAACAGAATGGGAAAAAATTTTTGCAGTCTACCCATCTGACAAGGGGCTGATATCTAGAATCTACAAAGAACTAAAACAGATCTACAAGAAAAAAACAAACAAGCCCATTCAAAAATGGGCAAAGGATGTGAACAGATACTTTACAAAAGAAGACATACAGGAGGCCAACAAACATATGAAAAAATGCTCATCATCACTGGTCATTAGAGAAATGCAGATCAAAGCCACATTGAGATACCATCTCACACCAGTTAGAATGGCGATCATTAAAAAATCTGGAGACAACAGATGCTGGAGAGGATGTGGAGAAATAGGAACACTTTTACACTGTTGGTGGGAATGTAAATTAATTCAACCATTGTGGAAGACAGTGTGGCGATTCCTCAAGGACCTAAAAATAGAAATCCCATTTGACCCAGCAATCTCATTACTGGGTATATATCCAAAGGATTATAAATCATTCTACTATAAGGACACATGCACACGAATGTTCATAGCAGCACTGTTTACAATAGCAAAGACCTGGAACCAACCCAAATGCCCAACGATGATAGACTGGATAGGGAAAATGTGGTACATATACACCATGGAATATTATGCAGCCATCAAAAACGATGAGTTCACGTCCTTTGTAGGGACATGGATGAACCTGGAAACCATCATTCTCAGCAAACTGACACAAGAGCAGAAAATCAAACACCGCATATTCTCACTCATAGGTGGGTGTTGAACAATGAGAACACAGGAACACAGGGAGGGGAGCACTACACACTGGGGTCCACTGGGGGGAAATGGGGGAGGGACGGGGGGTGGTGAGGTGGGAAGAGATAGCATGGGGAGAAATGACAGATACAGGCAAGGGGACGGAAGACAGAAAACCACACTGCCATGTGTGTACCTATGCAACAATCTTGCATGTTCTTCACATGTACCCCAAAACCTAAAATGCAATTTAAAAAAATAAAAAAAAAAAAGAAATATGGCAGGTCCAAATTGAGGTGTGTTGTAAGTGTAAAATATACCCCAATATCAAAGACTTAGTACGTTTAAAAGTTTATGTTGATTATATTAGTAGTTTTGATATATTAAGCTAAATGAAATATATTATTAAAATTAAAAATGTTATAATGATTAGTTTTAACCTCTAGAAAATTTAAAATTGCATATATGGCTTAAATTACATTTCTATTGGAGAGTGCCACTTTAGAGACTTGCACACATTGGTAATTAATTTTCTTACTTCCCAAATTATGGGTACAAGTCTATGATATAGTTAATTGTCAAGAGGTGACTTAATGAACAGACATGAGAACTTACTGGTTTGTGTCTTTGGATGGGACCTAAATAACTGAGAGACAGTTATTCCATTCATGAAAATTTAGAAAGGAGAGCTGGCATGGTAATGAATAGTTAAGATGAAGCTGATTTACAGCTAGTTTAACTTTGTATAGCTGTTGGCTGCTGGGAAGTCATATCTCCCCACCTCTCTTCTAGACAGTTCTTCTCAACTATGACAGCAACTTAAGTAGGAAAAAAGTGAGCATTCTCTGTCTGCCAATGGGTTTAGCAAGACAAAGGGTAGAGTTTATTCAGTTTCTATAAAAACACATTTCTATTATCCAGACAGTGACAAAGAAATCCCAGGAAGGGTGTTCTGCTGAGTTTACTTTTATTGAACAGGCAGTTGGACAGACAGCATTGTGATCAAGACTCTTCAAGGGCACAGACTTGGTGGAGATGTCTTTGTGCCCTCAGATCACAACACCTAGGAGAAAAGAGATGGAAAAGACTGAAAGTCAGTAAGTCCAATCCCAACAGCTCTGTATTGTTTTCTATAGCAAATAAGACAATCTCTGAAGAATTTCTTGTATATACAGATGTGAAGGTAGGTGATTCAGAATTGGGGTTTATTTTTTCCCTCATGGCTTTCAACAATCTTCCTGTCATTCATCCTAGAAGAGAAGACGGGTAGATTAGACGCTAGAACCAGAGATATTGCAGAAATGTGGGCTGTATATTTATAGCTGCATCTTAATCAAAGAAATCCATAGATTCCCACACTCTGTAAAGAAGTAATTTAAAATCACTTTCACATTTTATCACTTTGATACAACAAGCATTGAGCACCTAGCATGTACTACATGTTGAGGTGGACACAAAAATAAACATGCGGTAACTCTGCCTTTGATTACATGCAGGCTTCATGCCGACAAAAAGAAGTAGGTGTCATTAGCACCATTTTGCAGATGAGAAAATTGAGCTTCAGAGATTAGGAACTTGTCACTGTCATGTTAGGTCATGACTTGAATCCAATTCCTGTAATGTGAATGTTTTTCTTTTTTTTTTTTTTTTTTTTTTTTTTTTTTTTGAGACGGAGTTTCGCTCGTTACCCAGGCTGGAGTGCAATGGCACGATCTCGGCTCACCGCAACCTCTGCCTCCTGGGTTCAGGCAATTCTCCTGCCTCAGCCTCCTGAGTAGCTGGGATTACAGGCATGTGCCACCATGCCCAGCTAAATTTTGTGTATTTTTAGTAGAGGCGGGGTTTCACCATGTTGACCAGGATGGTCTCGATCTCTTGACCTTGTGATCCACCCACCTCGGCCTCCCAAAGTGCTGGGATTACAGGCTTGAGCCACCGCGCCCGGCCATGTGAATGTTTTTCTACCGTAGTTTGTTGTAGGCCACTAGAATAGAATCAGCTGTCTTCCTTTGCCTGACTCATTCAGGCATTTGAAATCAACCTTTAAAACATTAAATCAATATTTAAAAATATTCTTATAGGAGGTGAGGGCCTCAGGAACTTTTCCTCCACATAACTGCACATCTTCAACTAGTAACACCTGGGGCATGAGCAGCACTGTCATTCCAAACTCAAACCTTCACTCCAGGAGGTTTTCTTTGGTTTGAAAGTAGCAAGCTTTGGTCTTCCTGAATCCTTGAAAATCCGTCATGAAATTGATAGGTATAGATAAGAACAGTCATTTATTTATCTCACAAAATAATATCGGTGTTTTTATTAATATGGAAATTGCTTTCCAATATAGCAAATTGTGTTTTAATTGAGATAATGCCTTCTTGAGAGTGCTTAGACTTTAGAATCTCCTGACAACTAAAGCATGGTAGTAGAGCACTGGAAATGAAATCAGAATATCTACATTGAACTCAAGATATTATACTGAATGACTTTATTAAGTGACATTTTCCCCCAGGCTGACTTTTTGTAAAATGGGAAAGACAGTGATCCCCGCCCTAATCAAAATGCACATAAACCTCTAAAGAGCTATGTAAATCTTAGTAGTTACTGTATAATAGTCATTGCATAATAGAAAGTATTATGCACTTAGTAATCAAAGTGTGGGTTCCAGGATACTCAACCTACTTTCCCAAGAAAGTTGTGACTGCCTGGACTCTTATTCTATTTTTGAGATTTCACTTTCTTAGAGAAACTTTCACCCAGAAATAAAGTTCAGACAATAGTCTTCAACCCCAGTATATACATTCTTACTAGTCATCAGAACAATGTTAGGCCATGACCAATCCGTACCACCTGTACCCAAGATCACACCCTTGAATCTTACACAGGGACATGAAATTCCATCTGTGTTCAGGACACTTTTAATTTTTGTTTCATTAACTAATACTATAGTAATTTCTGTCATTATTAATGCCTGCTATGCAACTCCAGTGGAAAGTATACACCCAGAAATGGAGGAATGGCACCCTTTTACAACACCTTGTGTGCTGAGTTCCGGCAAGATTCTTCATTGTTTAAAGAAATACATCTTACCAGTATAAACCTATGGCAAGTTCTTTATAAAGTAGTTTTTTTCAAGATGCCTACACAGAATGAGAGTTACAGGGAAATGTAGTTTAAGGTATGGTCTATTGGACTGGCATAAAACTATTTTGACTTTTCTATCCTGAGATATATGTAACTAGGTGAGTTTGTGAGGAAATGCCACAATATATTCTGTCAATAAAATGGGGGGCAAACTACTAAGAATTTCTATATAATAATATAGGGACTGGAACACAATATAGGGACTAGAGTAAAAGTTTAAACTCTCTTTTTATGGATTCTGGTAAATAACCAGAATAAAGGTCTTTAAGTGGGTGGTAAATAACTTTGTCGAGTCCACGTGAGAAAGATAGAGTCTTTGGATTTCATTCCTATCCTTGGCTTTCTCTACACTGCTTTCAGCTGCTAATGTGGAACTAGAAAGACTCTAGCTTATGATTCTTGTTTTCACAGTTTCCCATAGCAAAGACTGCTTGGTAAGTGTTTTTAATAAAATGGCCTTATCTAGTATTGCTTGACTAAGATCTCCAAATCTGGCTGAATAGCTTCTGATTCCATTACTCCCAGAGCTTTCTGTGGCAGTGGAATGGAGCAAAGACAGTGTGAATAATAATAAATAGTATTATTAAGTGTAATGCATTAAAATATTATTTATTAAATATATTATCAAAGTATCATTGAAAATAATTTATTAAAAATAAATAAGCACTATACCATAGTTTATTTTTTTTAAGTTCATACTTTGGACTCTTCTCTTTTTCTAAATTCATATTTTGGTCATAGGCTTAATAATAATAATAGTGTCATTAATTTTTCGGACACTGTGTCAAATGCATAGAAGTCAGTCTTCATTGAATATTTTCATAGTTCATTGGGGTCTTTCGTTTAGAGTATTTATGTGATTTGCCAAAAATCTCATATATGAAGCACAGCAAAATTTGAAATTTGAAGTCATATTTATCTCATAACAAAATATTTTCTCTTATTTGAAAATTTCTATTTTTTCACATTATATACCATCTCTCTGAGGATGACTATTCAAATACAGTCATCAGGGAGAATCTTAAACTCAGTAATATATGTTGAAACATCCTTTCAGGGGTTTAAATGAAATTGGTCAACTTTTAATTCTGGGAAGTAATTTAATATAATGTAAAGTTCAAGAATTATATAGAAATTGTTTAAATCCAGCTCTGTCACTCTCTGACCTCTCTTGGTCTCTGTCTCATCTTTTTTTATTGTAAATCACAGAAAACACAACCTATCCTGAGCTAAGTAATGTTATGTTGGAGAGACTGCTCATAAACTGTCTATTAATGAACCCAGTAAATAGTTTAAAATATTAACTGCTACATTATTTTTACTTATTTCAGTAATTAGTTATCCTTCCAGTGAAAAATGTGACCAATTCTGAGTCACCTGACCTAGTGTCACCTTTCTGGCCAGAGAAATGTCCATTACTCAATGGAAGGGAACAGAAGCAGAACCCACTGCTCCTCACAACATAACCACGGAGCCCAGACTACTTATGCACTTACAGATGTGGGCATGCTGGCAGTGCTTGTTCCTGGGGTGCTGCTCTCCCCACACTTCCCTTTACTGCGGATGTGTGTATTTGTCTGGCGTATCCTAAAACAGATCAGAGGATGCTTCAACAGTGAGGAAATTCTCAGTTATAATAAGAAAATAAATAAGGACCAACGTGCAGGACATTTAGACATCAAACCAAGCTGCATTTAGAGGGAGAATCTGGGATCTGGATTCAACTGTTTCCATTTTCAGTAGACATCGTTCAGGCTGTCTCTCTTCTGCTCCAGATTTATTCCCTAGCTCTGGACCTATAGTGTCACATTTCATATACTTACATATTCATAGAAAATATTGGAAATAAACTTGCAGATCATCTGGCCTAAAGGCGATCTTACATTTATAGACAAGAGAATCAGATCCCAGAGAGATGTTTAACTATAGAGTACCAATAATATGATTTGGGGAATATAAAATATAACAAGACAAAAATGATAGTCTGAACTTTATAGTTGGAATGAATCTTAAGAAGTATGAATTTTAATGCCTCTCGGTGGAGAAATATGATGAATCAGACACGTACTTGTTTTCCTCTGGTGATGGGAAACTCATTATCTATCAAGGCAGTGTAATTTGTATTTTGGCATGGCTTAAGTTGAAATTGCTCTCCTATAATTTTCTCTAAAGCCTTAGAAATGAACATTGTTTCTTCTTGCCTCAGATAACCTGATCCTTCTTTATAATATATACTCCCAACTCCCTTAGCCAAACAAACTATCCTGAGGAATGCTTTCTTAATATTTTCATCATTTCAGTTTCTTACTCTAAAGTTCCCTTAAATAGATCATTTGTTATGGGTCTATAAAGTTGATGAAAATGTTGAAGAAAATTATATGGCCAATTTAGGCCCTGACATTTACACGAAAGAGGAATTGCAGGATTTCTGGGCTGGAAATAAGGTATATATAGAAATGGAATTCCTGGACAGTTATATTTATTCCTTAAACAAGAATTTCTTAATTATTAAAAAGGTCTATGAATGAATTTCAAGTACTCCAGGTACCAACGAATATTATGTGTGTGAATTGTTCATACCACATAATTTTTTTTAAATGTTCTTGAAAAGGGTACCTTTCTTCATATTATCTGAGGAATCTTTGGTCTTTGAAAATTTAAGGAACTACTGTCTTAGAAATAACAGTAGGATAGTGAAGAAAAAAATAACTGTATTTAGGCCCAAATCAATAAGGTCAAAATCCTGTCTGATCTACTTCTTAGCTTTATGACTTTGAACAAATTATTTGGACTCTCTGACCCTCAGATTAACCTTCTGTACAATAAAGATAACAACAATCTATAGCAGGTTGCAGGGATTCAGTGACTGAAATGTGAAGGTGCCCCCCTTATCTGTAAATGAAGGATTATGTTCAGATTTTATGCTCTTAAGCATATGACGTGAAGAGTGCCTTTTTCTTTTTAAATATTTTTCCAGGATTGAAAAGCAGGATATCAGGGAGTCCTATCCTCCTGTTCTGGCCCTTGCTTGCAGTGTCCTAAGAAAGATAAAGTAGTACATGAACTGCAGTGTAGGTCTGGGGCCAGGTGAGATGGACCAAGCTTTGTCACCATCCTCTCCTTGAAAGCTGGTCAAATGGAGGCCAGAGGAAAGGGACGCATATAGAGGCAGGGAGAAATTACTTAAAAATTTCAGAGAGCATTTGAGCACAGAAGAAACAACAAAACTAAAGCCAATAATAAAAGTGTTAAAATGAATCCCTTGTGTTGAACTTAAAATAAAAATATTTTTATATCTAGCAGTTCTTCTTAATCATCTGTGAAGTCAGAAGCTCAGAGAACTGTCTCCATTTCTCCAATGAAGGGAGTGAGATTCAGAATGAGATACTATGCCTCCACATAGTCATAAATATGAGAGCAGACATCACATCAACCATTTATTTATTGTGCTTCCTTTTGTACGGTGCACTTTCCTTTTGCAAGGTACTATTTCTTTCAAGAGGCAAGCTTAAAGAAATCAGAAATCTGTGGCTATCTTACAGTCTCAAGACATTTTATGCTGGGCTGACTTTATATAGCAGTTGTTCTCTACCGTTTTTCTTCACTACACACGGAACAAATGATGTTCACGCTCCCATGAGTGTACACAAGCTTATACCAATATTCTGCTACTGTAACCTCACTATTTTTTTCTTTCTCTTCTATCAGTAAAGCATATAGCAATGTAGCTAAGCAATGTAGGTAAGCAATTTGGGGAATAACCTCAAATCTTTTCTATTTTACATAAAAGTAACATAATTCACAAATTTTGAATTTTTAAATTCTACGATGAATAGATTACTTGTGACACACTCCAAATTTATATCATTACATTACTATGGCTTAACACTCTAGATGAGAAATTCTAAACTGGAAGATATGATGGGGCAACTTGAATACTTACAGGTTTTCATGACAGAGCATACAGGGATTGTTGTAGGTCTGACCATCGTCACCACAGACAGGCTTTAAATCCTTTGGACAAAGATAACCTATCCTGGGCAATACTCGGTAGTCTTTGCACATCTCAGAATCCTGAACAAGCAAAACACGAAGCAGACTTACTTGTTAACATTCAAGGAGAGTGATGGGCTTGAGAAAACTTCTTGAGTTCCTTAACCCAACTTGAACAAATGGTTGTAAAAGGAGTGTGATATAGGTTATGCAAACTAAAAGATTGCTTTTGCATCATATTTGTTGGATTTAACTTTTTGAATTTGGCAATTTTTAACAAGGTAAGTAAACAAAGAAACAAAGAATAACAAAACTTTAGTAAAGCAAAACCCCTTTATAATATGTGACACGATTATCTGACCCAAAGAAGAAAACCAGAATGATAGCATGCTAGAAATAATATTCGCTTTTTTAAGTGAAGGTACAGGTTACATACAGTCTAGGAAGGAAAGAATCGGAGGTAAATACCCATAAATTGCATGAGTTTTTGTGTCCTAGCTCTACTACTAACTAAAGAAATGACTTATCTAACTTTTCGCAGCCTTAATTTTCTCACCTGAAAATCATAAATAATAGTAGTTCTTACTTCATATTACTGCTTTAGGGGATTAAAACAGGTAATGCATATAAGTTCATGCTTACCACAGTGTCTGTCACATACTAAGTGTTCAGTAAATTTTAGTTGTCAGTATGTTTTCCATGGTAGAATATATATGTATATTTTCCATGTAGAAGAGGAAACATATTTGTTCTTTGTAGTTTTTTGGAAGTATGGGTTTAGTGATTAATGATAATAACAAGAACTTGATTGATTTTTTAAAAAGGCAAAAGGTAGAGCCAAAATATAAAAAAAAAGTGGATTCAAAAGCAAATAGGATGATGGAAGACTTAAATCCAATGGTATCAGTAATTACATAGAATATTAATAACTAAGTACTTCTGTTAAAAGACAGAAATTATCAAACTAGAAGAATGAAAAGAATCAACTATATAATATTTATAAGAAATATATTTATAAGTAAAAGAATGAGTTCTAAATAACTCACAGCTCAAAGTAATCATAAAATTTAGAAATGAATTGAATCACGAGGAAAATATAACTGATCAAATCCCAGCACCAAAGCAGTAATTTGGGGGAAATTTATAACTTTAACACATATATTAGAAAAGAAGAACATTCTCAAATGAATTATCTAAACTTTTAACTGAAGAAGCTAGCAAATGATGAGAATAGAAAAATTTTTAAAATAAATAATGAAGAAGAGAAATTGATGAAATAGAAAACAGAACAAGGCCAAAAGTTAGCTGCTTGAAAAGATTAATAAACTGATAAGCTACTTGCAAAATTGACCAGAATCAAGAAAACACACATTACCAATACTAGAGATAAAAGGCCATCACTATATGAACTATAAATATTAAAAGGATAATTTAGAAATGTTATGAATAACTATATGCCAAAAAAATTGAAAACATAGATGAAATTACTAAATTCCTTGAAAACTACTTACTGAAAACAGACACAGAGAAGATATAGAAAATTTGATAGGATGACATCTGTTAATATTCATTTCAGAAGAGTCAGGCAGTATTCGGTTGTTTGTTCCTTTCTTTTGATAAATGATTCAAACATCTAAATGAATTGCTTTAGGTTGTGGTAAGTTCTCCATATTGATATAAATATTCATGGACAATTTAGATCAGTAACTTATATGAATCTCTGGCAAAGGTTAGACTCAGCCAGGTATATATGAATCGTATTTTTCAGGTAGCTGGTGCTATAATGCTCAAAAGGTACTACAATGTTTCTCAGTCTCTCTCTCTTTTTTTTAACATAATATATCAACTCAACAAATTCTGTTGACTCTGCCTTCAAAACAGACCCAGTATCTAAGCAGCTTTCAAGAGCTCCACCACTACTAAGATGCTGTAAACTAGCATCATCTTGTCTGTGGACTACTGCAATAGCTAACCAGCTGTCCAGCCCTTGGCCTCCCTGCAGTGTTTTCAATAGATAACAGTCAAAGATATTCCTTTAAAACATAAATCAGGCCGGGCGCGGTGGCTCAAGCCTGTAATCCCAGCACTTTGGGAGGCCGAGGCGGGTGGATCACGAAGTCAAGAGATCGAGACCATCCTGGTCAACATGGTGAAACCCCATCTCTACTAAAAATACAAAAAATTAGCTGGGCATGGTGGCACGTGCCTGTAATCCCAGCTACTCAGGAGGCTGAGGCAGGAGAATTGTCTGAACCCAGGAGACGGAGGTTGCGGTGAGCCGAGATCGCGCCATTGCACTCCAGCCTGGGTAACGAGAGCGAAACTCCGTCTCAAAAAAAAAAAACAAAAACAAAAACAAAAAAACAAAAACATAAATCAAATTATATTACTCTTCTCAAAACCTTCATTCAGAATACTAGGTGAAGTCTTTAAAATTGTCTACAAAATCCTTTATAACACGCCCTCCCATTAGCTTCCTGACTTCCTCCTCTACAACTGAGGTAGCTGTATTTCAATAACACTAAGTGCTTTGCTATGTTTTCTGCCTGGAATATGTTTTCCTCAGATATACCTACAGAATCAATACCCTTACGTCTTGCTGCAAATGTCGCCTTCTGAAAGAGTTCTTCCTTGTATATGCTACTTAAAATTGTATCCTCTCCACTCCCCATCTCAGAGTTTACTGTACCATATTTTTCTGCCTTATTTTCTCCTTGACATTATATTTTTATTTATTCATATTATTTATTCTATCTGCTTTTCCAAGATACTATGAACTCCATGTAGTGAGTGCTATCTGTTTTGTTTATAGTTATAACCTAGTATACATAAGTAATGCCTGGAAAAATAGCAGGTACTCAATAAGTATTTGTAGACTGACAAAGGGACTGCCACCTTGATGAAATGATGACTAATGAAAGATTTATTTCTCCAAAAGAAATCTCAACTTCAAAACAGATTGTAGATTAGGAGGGAGAATGAGAGGGCTACTGGTCTACTGGTCATATCTTATTTCTTGCTGCTATCACAGATATAATCACTTTGTGATATTTCATTTAGCTATTTACTTGGATGTGTGCATTTCTTCTATGTGACTATTATACTTCAATAATTAAAAAAAGAAACACACATTTTGTGAATACCTCTTCTCCCCGTCTTTGGATACCTGATGCAGAGCCCAACTTACCAGAAATATGTAATTAATGCATATTTCATGTATGTAACTCATCTATTACCCTAGTTGCATTGGATGAACAATTAGGTAAAATTCATGTTGGATACCTTTCTTTCTCCTTTTCTGGGTCATCGGCCTAGGTGCTAAAATCTTCCTTTTAGGGCCCAATCTGAGAATCTGCTTGATGATCTCTTATCCCCTTTGCTTCTTTCTACTCCTCATCTTGCCAAGGTTCTACAAAGTAAATCCTATCATGCTAATGTACACCACACTTACATTACTGATGACCATCAGCTGAGAAAGAGAGAAAGAGAGAGAGATGGGGCCTTGTTCTGTCACCCAGGCTGGAGTGCAGTGGTGTTATCATGGCTCCTGGTAGCCTTGACCTCCTTGGCTCAAGCCATCCTTCCACCTTGGCCTCCTAAGTAGCTGGGACTATAGGCACAAGGCATCATGTCCAGCTAACTTTTTTTTTTTTTGTATTTTTTGTAGAGACAGAGTTTCACCATGTTGCCCAGGGTGGTCTTAAACTCCTGGGGCCGAGGAATATCATCCATCCACATCAGCCTCCTAAGTAGCTGGGACTACAGGCACAAGGCACGATGCCCGGCTTTATTTTTCTTTCTTTCTTTCTTTTTTTTTTTTTTTTGAATTTTTTGTAAAGACAGAGTTTCCTTATGTTGCCCAGGGTGGTCTCAAACTCCTGGGGCCAATGGATCCACCCGCCTTGGCCTCCCACAGCGCTAGGGTTATAGGCATGAGTCACCACACCCAGCCCAGCCCATATTTTAAATAAGAAGTTTTAGCTACTGCGAATTGCTAATTTGTGGAAATCTATGCCTGTGAGCATGCTCAGCATAGAGTTCTAGGATGTAGAAATGGATTTGGTTGGGGGAGGGAAGTAAGCAGAAGCTCCTGGTCTGCTAAAATTACAGAATTGAGGCACCTGACTACGTATTACCACATTTGAGATAAGTCACAATTATTCCATACTCACATTGAAAAATTTTAAATGTTCTAATAATCTCAAAGGGCATAGAATAATCCACTAATGAGAAATCCCAGAACTCTCACCAAGCATAAACTGCATTTAGTCCTCAAAGGACTTCAAGTCACACTGAATAAGCAAATCTCAGAGCCTTCTATGAAAACAGCCAATGGCAATAGGTTTTAAAAAATCAAGACAATTAAATTAATAAGTAGCTTTTCAGAAATAGTCCTTCTTACCAGAGAACTGAGAGAATCTAGGCTGTCTTCCTCTTGAGAAGCTCTAACATGGGATGGCTTTTCTTGAAGTTTTGCCCTTTCCAAAGCTTCTGTTAGACTACAGGAAAAAAAAAAGTAATTTAAAATAATATTCACAGGGAATTGTTCCTATAATTTCCAGTGAGAAGTTAAGCAATCCTCATAAAATATGACAGAGGCCTGGTGTGGTGGCTCACGGCTGTAACCCCAGCACTTTGGGAGGCCTGGGTTGGCAGATCACCTGAGTTCAGGAGTTAGAGACCAGCCTGGCCAACATGATAAAACTCCATTTCTACTAAAAGTACAAAAATTAGCTGGATGTGGTGGTGGACACCTGTTATCCCAGCTACTCAGAAAGCTGAGGCAGGAGAATTGCTTAAACCTGGGAGGCAGAGGTTGCAGTGAGCTGAGATTGCACCATTGTGTCAACAGAGTGAGACTGGTCAACAGAGTGAGACTCTGTCTCAAAAAGTAAGTAAATAAATAAATACATACATACATAAAACAGAATCACAGAACATTAAGATAGTGACCAGGATGATACATTAGGAAAAGTACACAATTAGGAGCTGGTTTAGAGCTTTAATCACTTAACAGAGGACAAGTGGCTTCATGTTCTTAAGTTTTGATTTCTAGAACATAAAAGGAGGGTAGTATTGGTAATTCCTTCCTCAAGGAAGAATCACTATGAAAAGCTAAATACATTTGATTATTGTTGTATTCACAGTGCACTTTACAACCATCATCATCATCATCATCTATAATGTCCATGGGTCCCCATTTCTAGTTGCTTTTTAGAATAACCCAGAAAATAAATTCCATAGCCTTAAAATTCTGATTTAATATAGTTCGGGGTGTAAAAATTTGTATTTATTTTTAGAAGGCATCTCAATTGAGTCTGATCTAGTTATGAAATAAAGATCTCAAATAATTTCTTCTAATTATGATGTTGAAAGCTGAAAAAAGTTGTTTAATGACACAGCTGGTATACATCGTGGTTAGACCTTTCATGTAGAATTTCTGTCTCCAAGTCTAAATGTCCTTTCTACTATATTAGGTGTTCTCAGCTCGGGGGCCTTAATTCTAAAGACATTTAAAAAATTCTATGGGGTTCATAAACATACAAATTTATTCAATCAGCAGTTTCTAAAAACGCAGTTCCCTTGCTGGCTGCAGGGGAAGCAGAATCCTCTTACTCACAAGACAGCTCTGCACATGAAGCACTTGTTTGTATAGAACTTTCCATCAGCACCACGGACTGGGTCACTCTCTCTAGGGCAGATGAGCTCATTGTTCTTTATATAGTTTCGAAATTCACTGCACTGATCCTAGAAAATGAGAGAGGGAAAGTGATCATGGCTTTGTCCCTTTTTTGGCTTAGTGATTTTGTCCAACTTGGTTTTAGAAAGTCCACAATTAGCTCTGTGCTCAGACTCACTGTACTTATCCTGGCAATAGAGGCCAAGGAACCCACAGGTTGCCTAAACTTGGCATCCTCTGCTTCATTCTGAACCTCTCTGCACTGGTCCTGAAAATGTAGGGAAACATAAAACAACACTGGACAGACCTTCCTGTTTTCCTCTCCCTTTCATCCATCCCTCCTTTCCCCTATTTTCCACATGAAGCATGCTTTTGACAAAAGGACAATTACTCAGGGATCTTACTCTATAAATGTGATTGTTACTGTTAAAGAACTGAATGAAGATGTCTTCTCTGCAGTCTTGAAAAGCAAATAGAAAAAAAAAGCATCACGCATGCACACTACTGATTTTTTAATGCTGATAAAATCATCTGGAGAAAACAGAAAAGAAGCTAAAAGGGAAGCTTAGTTTATATTGCCTGAATTATTAAAATAAACGTCAACAATCTACCCAAAGCCTTACTTTACACTTAAAATGTCAAACATAAGCATGCAGTTGAAGTGGTAAAGAATTTTACCCTCTACTTTTCAATCCATATTTTTCCCAAGGAGAAAAGACTAGAACAATAATTGACACACACTGTTAGAGAATTTTCCACAAAAATCAAAAAAGGTATCAAACCCCGAAGCCCCCAAAAAATCTTCCTATGATCCAAAGTGACAATATTAGCAAAATCAATTTTCTTTGAAGTTAAGAGATTAGTATCTGTATTATTCCCAAAACTGGAGAAGAATGTGAAATTCTGAGAATGAAAAGTAAAATAGTTATTTTGGTATACTTTAAGAAATAACCTTTGCATCATTTGAGGCCTTGACAGTTGATTTCTCTTCATTATTCTTTTTTCTTTCATTAGCTTCTCTATCACTGCAGAATAAAAAAAAAAAGACAGAGTAATTTTTCCAGGGTTGTTACTGAGTTGTCTTTAATCACGCATTTCTTCAGTTCCAAACATTGGCAAATCTAACACTATTTTCTTATACCTAAAAAAAAAAAAAAAGAAAAATCTAAGAATACTCTTTTATAAGCTAATCAATTCTGATTGTTGGAATTTTCATGACAACGTATTTGCAGTAATGCTATCAGCTTTCATAGATTTTGTTACTATACTCTTACCCAGAACAATATGAATCTAAAAGGCCCTTATTTTTCTTACATAAAACAGACTTAAGACTCTCATCTTGAAAGTTGCTATATTTTTCATGTTTACTTTTCTAATTAAATTATAACTAAACTCACACTTTTGTTTGTTATTTACATAAGTATAATGCTTTGAAGTTCATAAACATTTTTTAAATGTCTTTGAATCTCCACAAAACTCAGTTATTGTTCCCTCAATAACTGAGGCTCTGCACGATGAACTGGCCTGTCCCAGGTTACTTAGCTGATAAACTACCTCTTCCTACCCCAGAGGTTCCAGGTATGATTATGCTTCACAACATCAAAATAATAATAATAAAAAAAATCTTGTGAAAGTGCTTTGGAAACTGTCTCTTCGAAAGAGAGGAGCTATTTAATCATTAATGTGTGATGCCAAGTACATTAGGTTTTAAAAGTAGCAAAAACTATTTCTGGGAAACAGGCACAACTATCAAATTCATTGATAAACCTTTTTACGTACAAGATGCTTTGGCACATAGCACATTTATTGATGTGCATCTTGCCATACGGGCCTCGAACAGGGTTATTTTCTCTGGTGCAGATAAGCTTCCCATTTCTCTGCATGCTTCGAAATTCACGACACTGATCCTACCAACAGTAGCAAAAAAAGATGTTACTGTGATGGCATAGTATCTAAAACCTGAGAATATGATTGACTGATTAGACATTAACTCATAGCACAGGAAACAAAAACAGAGAAAGTAAAATTTCAGGGAAAAAATACGTTTCAAAGGCACTTTATTCAATCTCTACCTAAGAATTTTGAATCTTCTCCATTGCCTCTCTCTCAAATGATTGTCTTGCTCTAATGGAAATTCTCTACTGCCTAAAGCAGCCCATCTCTTTAAAAACTATATATATATACACACATATATATATGTATTGTGAGCACCATATATATATATATATATATATATGATGCCTAAAGCAGCCCATCCCTTTAAAAACCATATGTATATGTATATGTATGTATAAACATATGTAGTATTGTGAGCACCATATATGTAAATATATATATATATATATATATATATATATATATATATATATATATGATCTTGCTGTGTTGTCCAGTCTGGAGTGCAGTGGTTCAATCAGAGCTCATTGCAGCTTCCAGCTCCTGGGTTCAAGCAACACTCCTACTTCAGCCTCCTAAATAGCTGGTACTACAGGCATGTGCCACCATGTCTGGCTAATATTTTCAAACTTTTTGTAGAGACGGGAGTCTCTCTGTGTTGCTTGGGTTGGTCTGGAACTCTTGGCCTCAAGTGATCCTCTCACATTGGCTTTCCAAAGCACTGAGATTACAGGCATGAGCCCCAATGCACTGCCTCACCTCATTTTAATACAATTTTCTCTAAGGCAGGGCTCTAAACCTGTCTTCCTGTGAGTGCACTCAGTATTCCACACATAAAAAGTCTACTTCAAAAGCCCTGGAATGAACTGAAAGATACTATCCTGGCAAAACATACAAACATGTAAACTTCCAGATTTATTCCTCAACAACAATTTACCAAGAAAAAGAAAAGTATTATTATTGTGTGAGGTGCTTTGTCATGTGGTTTAATATATTTCCTTCAGTGGTCATAAAAATCGTAAAAGATAAATATTCATCATCCCCATTTTATAGATGAGAAAAGTAAATCTTAGAGACATTAAATAAAGTTAGTGTTGAATTTGTGATCAGAAACCTGTGAACCACCAGACTATACTTTTCTACTTACTTGCTTTTACAAGGCAGAGACTAAAACTCCTCTCTGTGGGTAAGTATACATACAGCTGCCTTTTGTGTCCATTGAAACGTAACGAGCTTGAAAAGAAGCCAATGGAACCAAGTTTACAGACAGAATCTAGACTGTATTAAAATCTTCAGAGAGCTATAGAAGTCTCTGGAACTTCCTTTAAGCCCAAAGAGCCAAAGTGGAGATATGGGAACATTACCATAAAAAATACCCCAGTAACCTAGATTGTACTTGCCCTTCTTTCTTTAAATTGTGATGTCCATAAACAATTCTGGGCCTTACTTTGAATTGTAGCATTTTAAAAAATTCTCTGGAATTAAATACGTATCAACATATTAAATGTCTCACAACCGCCATTTTCACAAATGACTAGAAGTATTTTCTTTTCCAGGTGCTCACAATCCCACATATGTCTATAATAGCACTCATGTGCCTGTATTGCAACTCTGCAATTCAGTCTTTGGCTCTTCTATTCATTACTTATGTGTAGTTACTTCCCTTAAGTTTTTCTGAATTGTAAAATTGGAACAATATTACCCAGTGCGTAGATTTGGGGGAGGTTTAAATACCTTATTTAACTTTGCATTGGTAGATACAACTGTAGCTCTCTATTTGACTCTCTGTCTCTCAGCCCCACCTCGGTATTTTCTTTTCTTTTCTTTTCTTTTCTTTTCTTTTTTCTTTTTAAGACAGGTTCTCGCACCGTTGCCCAGGCTGGAGTGCAATAGTGTGATCATAGCTCACTGCTGCCTGGAATTCCTGACCTCAAGTGATCCTCCCACCTAAAACTCCCAAGCAGCTAGAGTTACAGATGTGCACCATCATTCCTGGTTGTTTTTTAAAATTATTATTTGTAGGGACAGGTTCTCACTATGTTGCCCAAGCTGGTTTTGAACTCCTAGACTCAAGCAATTCTCCTGCTCTGGTCTCCCAAAACACTGGAATTAAAAGAGTGAGTGACCAAACCCTGCCTCAATATATTTTTTAATTGTTGTTGTTGTTGTTTCACTCAGTATTTTCTAAATATACATATACATAGTATTTTTCTGTTTGAAATTTTTAAAATAAATATCATAAAATTAAATATTTACCAAGATTTTAAATAGATGCCTTTTAGAGATCATGTGAAGTTGTGCAATAAAGTATTTTCTCAAAGCCATTTATCTACCAAAATACACAACAGATACTCCCAAAATATTTTTAAATAATGATAATTAATATTAATGTTTCATTTTCTTTAGTCACTACGGGCTTAATGAAAAGTTGCCCTGCTCATAGAAAAAATCTTCCTAGAGAAATTTTACTACTTTGCTATTCTAATGGGAGGCCATCAGTGGATTAAAAGGGACTGTGCCGTGTAATATTCTATGTGTTGGTGTTGTAGTGTCGAGTACTATTTATAAAGATCAAAATTAAACTCTAGGTGGCAATGAAATGCCAGGTCAAGAATTTATCAGCTCAAACTCCAGACTTTTGATACTAATTTTCTTTGTAATCTTTAGCATCTGATTGCTTGATATTTATTGTTTAAAAAATCCAGAAACAACTGGGTGTGGTGGCTCATGTAATCCCAGCATTTTGGGAGGCTGAGACAGGTGGATTGCATGTGCTCAGGAGTTTAAGACCAGCCTGAGCAGCAGCAAGACCCTGTCACAAAGGAAAGAAAAAACTCAAAAATGAAATTAACTGGGTAACTACAATAATTTGACAATTGCCACTGGTTCTACAATTCCATCAGAATCACTCTTGGGGAATTGAAGAGCATGCTATTTATTTGCAAGATGTGGCCATGACTTTATTGTTCACCATTATATTGCCAATGATTGGGACAGAGTCAGCATTTCATGAATATTTGTTGAATAAACATTCATGAACTAGCCGAATTCAGGTATTAGTGTGTCAACATCGATTACCTCCTTGTCATTGCTCTGTTTTCCTGTATTGCTTCTGTCTTCATCCTCTTTCTTTTTTTTTTCAGCTGCTTCCCTTTCCCTGTGGGGGTGAAGAGGGGAATGAAACATTTCAATCAAAGTGAATAAACACCTTATTAATTACTAGATCTGCTTCTAAAACAATTGTCATTTTTCCAAACTGGTAGGAAATGATTATTATACTTTCAGACGCACAGTCAAAACGTTATTTTGAAGAATACTCACAGTTTTTCCTTACACATAGCACACTTATTGCCATGCGTCTTGCCATCTGGACCCCGGACAGGGTCACTTTCTCTAGTGCAGATAAGTTTTCCATTTTTCATTTGGCTTCTAAACTCATCACATGTATCCTGAAAAAAATGGAAAGAGCATATTGCAAGTGCTGTTTTTACATAGTATTTGATTGGATTTGAGAATCAGAGGATTTCTTTCCAAGAGGCAGGCAGCCATGTAACCTTACTGTGGTAGGCAAAATAATGGCCCACAGAGAGAGACATCCATGTTTTAATTCCTGGAACCTCCAAACATGCTACTTTACATAGCAAGGAGGAATTATGCTGAGAATATGGAATTCAGATTGCTAATCAGCTGAATTTAAAATGGGGAAGTTACCCTGGATTATCTAAGTGAGACCCATGTAATCACAAAGGTTCTTATTCATGAAAGAGGGAGGCAGGTGAGTCCGTGTGAGAATGACATCACATGAGAAGCACTTGACTGGCCATCAATGGCTTAAGGGTGGCCACAAGCCAAAGGATACAGTTAGCTTCTAGAAGTTAGACAAAGCAAAGAAACAGATCCTCACTTAGAGCCTCCACAGAGGAATGCAGCTTTACCAACACCTTGGTTTCAGCACAATCAGACCCATTTAGAACTTATGGAACCCAGAAATACAAGATAATAAGTTTGTGTAATTTCAAGCAATTGCTTGTAGTAACTTATAGTAGCAGCAAAATAATACAAAAACAAAAATAAATCAAATATATTTGCAAAACCTCATTTTCCCTATCTACAAAATAAGGTTAAAAGGCCATATTCAACCAGGCTATTGAGATAATTAAATAAACTATCATTTATAAAAGTTCCTTTTAAAGTGTCAGGCTTGAGCTTAGTTTTCTTCACTGAACAAGTTATCAGTGATAGTCACTGATAACTTGGTGACTCATGGCCTTCTAAGGGCAAGCTCTAGCTTGATCATATTGACGCCTTCTTCCATAGTTTTGATTTGCCAAAACTCAAATAATAACTCACCTTCCCTGATACTGATCCATTCTCATTTGATCTGGAACCGGAATAATCATTTTTTCTCTCTGCTTCTCTTTCCCTGGAGGAGAAAAAAGTCAATAATCATCTTGTGAACACATATTAACCCTGGATTATGCAGTAAGTGTTCTGTGCAAATGACAAGAAGTCAACTGTCTTCAACTGTGCTGGCCAACAATTCGAATGGCCATCACAAAGTCTTCCTAGGATTCTGGTACAACGAAGAACAAGGGTCTATCATGATAGCACTTAGAGTTCACAGAATTGTAATAGAAAATACAACAGGAATCAGCCACTTGGTTAGCTGTCCTTGCTGAAGCTCATTGTTCCTTAGGGAATGCAAGAGAAAAATGTAATATTTGAAAATTAACAAAAAGAATAATTTTCATGGAAGGATCCATAGCAAATGAGAAATAGCCATTTATTCAAGAGAAATATGACTATGTTTTAGACATGCCTGTTGAGAGAAATACTTACAATTTTACTTTACACATGGTACACTTATTGTTGTATGATTTGCCATCAGCACCACGTACAGGCTCACTCTCCCGAGTACAGCTGAGTCTTCCATTTTTCATTTGTTCCCGATACTCAGCACATTGGTCCTGAAAACAGAGAAGAACAAAGGTCCCTTGGATTATTTAGTCTACTGTAGTCTTAGTAAATGTTTTTAACAATCTGAGTGAGAGTTCTTTCACCTCTCTTTATAAGAAACATAAGATCTAGGTCTGGTATCCACAGAGAAAAAGGGACCAGAATCACCCATGTTCTAATTATAAGAGATGAATTGTCATGGCTACTACTATTGCTTTTAAGGATCTGTACAAGGAAATTATAAATATGACTGAATTTAATAACATATATCAAATGTCAGTAAACTATAGTGCCCCTTGGTACACTTGGGGAATTGGTTCCAGGATCAAAATCCATGCATACTCAAGTCTGTCAGTTGGCCTTGTACAACCCACCTGTACAAAAAGTTTGCCCTCCACCATGCAGGTTTCACATCCCACAAATGCTGTATTTTTTTTATCCAAGTTTGGTTGAAAAAACATTATGTACAAGTGGACCTGGGCAATTCAAACCCATGTTGTCGAAGGGTCAATTGTACAACCTACAGGCAAAATCTTTCCTGCTGCCTGTTCTTACACATAAAGTTTTACTGAAACACATCCTCACTCATTTATTCAGATATTATTTTTGGCTTCTTTCCCACAACAATGGTGAGTAAAATAGGTGCAGCAGACAACATACGACCCGCAATGCCCACAATGCTTAAAATATTTATTATCTGGCCTTATATAGAAAAAAAAATGTGCAGATCTCTGGTGCAGATAGAAGAGAGAGAAAAATGCTGGAGGAAAACTCAAAGTTCTGTAAAATATCAAGGAAGGTAGGTTTGACCAAGTTATGGACAGACAAAATGTCTATCAGACAAGTCTAATCAACAGGACCATTCCTCGAAAGGGAAAACTCAGCCTCCTACAGCAAAGAAGATGGAGAAAAAAACGGAGCAGCCAGAGTTTATCAAAGGTAAATATGGGGCCTTTGTCAGGTCTGGAACTGAAGACACGGTTTTGATATTCTAAGGCTGTAAAAAGTTAAATAAGGTGACTGCAATTTTATGAAACAGTGTTCAGAGACCCAAGGAGTGACCTTATATGCAACATTACCATGCTGACACTTTAAAATGGCTCAAGAAACATGCTAAACCTTTGCCTAAATTATTTTCTTTTATCCCGGTAAGAGTACTGCTAAACCAGAGAGAGTAGAATTCAGTGAGCAGAAGTAATTTCCTCACTGTCTCCTAAGTCCAGGTGGGAGGGGCAGGATCGTACCCCAACCTGACTCCAAAGCCTGTGCTCTTTCGTCCTATCATGCTGCCTTGGATCAATAGAAAAGATACCTCCAAAAAGTGGCTCTGTTCAAGGCAAGAAAGAATAATGAAAGAAAATGAAGAGCATGTGATGCTGATGAGAACCATTATTGACATAAGGTCTTGGTTACCACAGAGGGCTCGGGAGACTGGGAAAATGTCATTACATATTGTTAATTATTTCAAAGTGTAAAGAAGTCAAAATGAACCCCAGAGCAGTGAAAATGTGCTGATATCTTACTCTGCAACCTTAAGGAGAAACTTCTCTGTTCTCCCAAGGACTTAGCTCTGCATAAAATTGCCTTTATCATATATATGTGCTATGTCGTAGTCCCACTGTCAAGGAGTTAAGCCCACTCCAGTTACTGAAATTAGAAATTGCTCTCACCTGAGTGCTCCCTCCTCCACTGCCACTGGAACCTGCAGCATTTCTCTGATCTTCCTCTTCTTTCTTCTTTTTTTCTTCATCTTCTTTCTGGCTGGAAATTAGAAAGTGGGAGGTAGGGAATAATAGATTACAGAGAGTGGTGTGCATTTCTATGAGTTTCTCCTTATATGAGCAAATCACATTTGTATAGAATTATCAAGTATTGATTTAACATCTACTGTGCTACAGGCTTCTCTGAAAATAAAAATATGAATTACATGGAGTCCTTTGCCAGGAAGGACTCTCATTACAGTAGAAGAATACCACATATACATCACCACAAACAAGACAAGGTGAGTAAAGACGGGTGTGGTGGCTCACACCTGTAATCCTAGCACTTTGGGAGGCCCAGGCCGGTAAATCCTTGAGGTCAGGTGTTTGAGACCAGTCTGGCCAACAATGCAAACTTCCACTTTGCACAATATTTATGCCACTTACCGTCCTTTCTGAACAAGTTTTGCAGCTTCCCATTACATATAGAATTGACCTCAAAATCTTTGGTGCGCATTCAAGGTTGATAAAGTTGGTAAGTTCTGACTAAACAAAATGACTTGCTTTTTACTGTACATACTACAGTTTTCCCAATTTTATCTATTTACCCGTGCTGTTCTCCTCTTTCCCTCTTATCACTTTCTGTCATGTCCACATTTCACCTGCATTATAAGGTCCAGTTCCAACCCACCATAAAACTTTCTATTAACTGTCCCTTTCTTGAAGTACCATAACATACTACAGAAACATTTTTCATTTAACAATTCCTTCTTTATATTATATTATCTTATGTCCACATCTAATCTCAGTGGACTATATGATTTCTGAGAAGATCATCTATTGCATTCACCTTTGTATAATCATTATACACGTTGTACATTGTAGATGATCAGTAAATGCTGTTGAGTGACTTAAATATTCTACATGTACTTAACAAAGTTTGTGTAAAGACCTACTTTTCATTTCCTGAAAACGTGTCATTTTCAACAATATAGGTGAGGACTTTGACATTAAAAGCTGTGTGTTTTCTTTCCAATGTGAATTGAGAGATAATCCGGAGAAAGGATTCACTTGACAGCAAATAACTTAAGAATTTTATCAAGAAAGTGTAATTGACTGGTAGGCTCTACCCCAGAACTAACTGAGAATGTAGTAGCTTAGTCGTATATTTTTAATTTCTGGAACTGTGAATCTTGACCATTATAAAGAAAGAACTATTTCAAATCCTTTATAGATAACCTTTTGTTTCTTTTACATGTAAGGAAAGGACAAACACAATGTATATTATCTGGCTCAGTTGCTTTCCCAATTTTGCCATCCCACAGTAGGAGGTTTTTTTTGTGTGTGTGTGCACTCACAAGACTGCCTTACACATGGCACACTTGTTGCCATGAGTCTTGCCATCTGGGCCACGCACAGGATCATTTTCTCTCGTGCAGAAAAGCTTTCCATTTTGCAAAAGACTCCGAAATTCATCGCATGTCTCCTATAAGGAAAAGAAAAGGAAAAAGCTTGAGTTTTTTCTTAGAAGTTAATATATTGAGTTCCTACTAAGTGCTTTATGGGAAAAAAGAGAAAATAACCATTTTGATTTTGTTTTTGGCAATTATAGAGTTTAATTTCTATTAAGCACACAGGACGTAAGAAGAAGCCTCTATTTCTTTTTCCTTGATAGCCCCAAAGTCCAGACTAAACCTGCAACCATACACAAGACTCTTAATAAACTGGGTTCTCTGATGACTGGGCACAATCTTTGTTTAGGGTTACATGAGGAATTGAGAGAGAATAAGCAATCACTGAAGATCAAAAAATTACTAATGACAATTAAAATTGAGTTTGAATTTTATTCTGAATTCTTCAGTTCAAATTGAAATTCATGAGGATGAAAAAGGGAATTTTTCTCCTAGCTCCGCTTAAACGTTCATTGCCAGGTCCCCTATTAGTCATGTTTAGCAAAAGAAAAATGATATGAGAAGAGAATTTGTGATGTTGAAGAGTAAATCTATTTTTCATATGAACTGCTATTATTTTTAAATTTAGAATCTCAACTGTGAAATGCAACTGCAAATAAGCCAAACATACAGAATTCCAGGGCGATACTTCTTTAGAGGTTATTTTAATATCAATAGTCTCTGATGGGTGCAGGGAAATGACCACAACTTGGAATAACCTGCCTGGAGCCAGCCTTTTGGAACCCAAGGAAATATTATATGGGGATGCTACTTTTTAATCTTTTCCCCAAATGCCGGGACTAATACATAACCAGAGGTAAAGCAAGGAACACATGGATTGACCAAAGGTGGTAATCCAAAACACATAGTGTGCTAGAAAGAATGTATCAGGAAGTCTAGGTTTGAATTCTATTCTTTCCAGAAATTTGAAATATGAAGATATGGGTACTGATACTTATACTCTCATTAACTTTATAAGCAAGTTCTTGTTTATCTCTGAATTTTAAATCTTAATGTATGGGAACAGAACAAATCAGGGGTTTGCAAACTGTGACCTGTGAGGAAAATCTGACCAGCCATCTCTTTTTATAAATCAAATTGCATTGGCATCAGCCATGCCCATATGTTTGTACACAGTCTATGATTGTTTTAGAGCCACACAGCCAAGTTGAGTAGTTGCGACAGAGATTACATGGCCACAAAGATGGAAATATCTGCTACCTGTTCTGTTCAGAAAAAGTTTCTCAACTTCTGAACTAAATGAACCTCTAGTTCCCTCACAGCTGGGGGCTTCAGTAATTCCGTATTTTTATAGAGATACTGCAAAACCTTATCCTTTCATTGCAATATAAACATTCCAGGATCACTACCTTTCCAGCTTCTCTTTTAGTTTTTGGTCTGGGTTTAGCTCCTTCTTTTTCTTTTGCTTCTTGCTGGCTATAAGAGAAGGGAGGAGAAAACAATCATTCCTAGCACCCAATACATAATATTCTAAAGGAGAAATGTCTCTGCATAAAAATGGTCCATTACTGTGCCCTCTCTCTCTTATTGCCCAGGCTGGAGTGCAATGGCGCGATCTTGGCTCACTGCAACATCCACGTCCCGGGTTCAAGCCATTCTCCTGCCTCAGCCTCCTGAGTAGCTGGGATTACAGGCGTGCGCCACTAAGCCCGGCTAATTTTTTGTATTTTTAGTAGAAACGGGGTTTCTCCATGTTGGTCAGGTTGGTCTCAAACTCCTGACCTCAGGCGATCCGTCCGCCTGGGCCTCCCAAAGTGCTGGGATTACAGGCGTGAGCCACCGCTTCTGACTTTTTTTTTTTTTTTTTTTTTTTGACGGAGTCTCGTTCTGTCACACAGGCTGGAGTGCAGTGGTGCAATCTTGGCTCACTGCAACCTCTGCCTCCAGAGTTCAAGCAATTCTCCCGCCTTAGTCTCCTGAGTAGTTAGGGTTACAGGCGCGCGCCACCACGCCCAGCAGGTTCATTATTTCTATACCTCCACCAACTTAGCTTTCGAGTAGAAAAGTAAATACACGCCCCTCTATACCATGTTCTTGTTAATGCTGTTTAAAGAATAAGACACACATGCCATAGCAAACCAGTGAATACATTTTTACTACACATTTCTTTTGAAAAATAGATGTTCTTTTCACCAGAAAGCATCTAAGATATCAATTAGATGTTAACACATTTTCAATTTATTAGCACCTCATGATTACACTTTTGGATTACTTGATAGTGACCTATGCTTGCAGAGAACAGAAGTCCTAGTCCTTTTATGCCATTAGCTCCAGGGTAATTTTGCTTTTAGCACATGGCTCTTTCTTAGTGGTGATTCAAGTATTGAATATTGAAGAGCACTAAAAATAAATGTGCTGAGTATATGGCTTTATAATTGTAAATTTCTAAACTCGATGCAAAGACAGCCTTTATTTTCTACCTTCTGAGAAAACTTCCAGTGCCAGCCCTCTTGCCCACCCGATGCTTATCTTCTATACTCAGTAGCAGCAGTGGCCGCCACCCACTCACAAGAAAGCTTCACACATGGAGCAGGTGTTGCCGTGGATTTTCCCATCTAGACCCTCAATAGGATCATTCTCTCTGGTACAGGGGAGTCGTCCATTCCTCACATACTGACGATACTCACTGCACAGCTCCTGCCAAATGAAGGAGGAGTTAAGAATCCAATAACTAAACCAGGCATCCCCAAACTTTTTACACAGGGGGCCAGTTCACTGTCCTCAGACCGTTGGAGGGCCGCCACATACTGTGCTCCTCTCACTGACCACCAGTGAAGGAGGTGCCCCTTCCTGAAGTGCGGCAGGGGGCTGGATAAATGGCCTCAGGGGGCCGCATTCGGCCTGCGGGGCCGTAGTTTGGGGACACCTGAACTAAACACTGGAAAGATTCATTCACATTACCCCTTTAAAAACTAAAACATAATGATTGCATGGAAAAAGGTGATGATGAAGGTTATTAGCTAAAATGCTTTTCAGAGACCTAGGTCACACATTATTTGGAATGTGGATTGCAGTTATTTATCTCATTAGAAAAACTTCGAGTCAAATATCATTCCACACTAGGCACTGTGAAAGATACAAAGAAGAATAATGTCTGGTCTCTTAAACAAGTGAAGGAATTTGTGGCATGCAGAATAAATACCCTTTTACCAAATACGTCTAAGTGTTAATACCTGGGACCTGAGAATATGCTACCTTACATGGCAAAAAGGGCCTTGCAGATATAATTAGGTCAATGACCTTGAAATGAAGACATTATCCTGTATTGCCATAATGGGCTCAATGCAAACCTCAGTCACAAAGATCAGTCCTTAAAACTGCAAGAGTGAGGCAAAAGACAGAGTGAGAGGGAGCTGTAACTGCAGAACAGTCAGAGAGATATAACATTGCTGGCTTTGTAGATAAAGGGGTTCAAGAACCAAGGAACATAGACAGCCTCTAGATCTCAAGAAAGAGACATGGATTTTACCCTGGAGACTCCAGAAAAGGAATACAGCTCTGTCAACCCTTTGATTTTAGCCCAGTGAAATCCTTTTTAGACTTCTAGCCTATGGAATTATAAGATACGAAGTTTATGTTATTGTTGTTGTTTTATTTTTTATTTATATTTTATTTTACTTTAAGTTCTGGGATGCATGTGCAGAACGTGCATGTTCGTTACATAGATATACATGTGCCATGGTAGTTTGCTGCAGCTATCAACGCATCACCTAGGTTTTAAGCCCCGAATGCATTAGGTATTTGTCCTAATGCTCTCTGTCCTCTTTCCGCCAAGCCCCCACAGGCCCCAGTATGTGATGTTCTGCTCCTTGTGACCATGTGTTCTCTTAAGTGAGAGCTGAACAATGAGAAGTTTATGCTGTTTTAAACCACTAAAGTGTGCTAATTGTTACAGCAACCATAGAAAACTAATACAGAGTTTTTAATTTCTTTGAAGAAAACACATAGAAGCAACTACGAGTTATAATAAAACAAATAATATAACTAATTTTTAAAAAAATTGTTGGCATAATAGATGACAGGTTATTCAGCATATTGTATGGATGGGAAAATCTGTAGGGAGCAGTTAACACACGGTCTGATCCATGAAAAATGGCCAGAATTTTGGTAGACAAGAGGGATATTCTGACTGTGAGTAATGCCATATAGAAGGCAAAGATCATTGTATGTTGAAGAATTGGTGAATTGTCCAATGTGGAACACCCTACTGGACAATGAGATTAGATCAATAATGACATTAACATTAATGAATATAATATGGCAGAGTGAGTACTTAAGTATGACGTTGTACTGTTATACATGAGTAAGTTTTAGGGACTTCATAGAAATAATATACATTCCAACAATATCCTTATCTTATAAGTGAGAAAGCTAATACACAAAGATGTTAACTGTGGGAATCTTACTGGTAGAGAAATGAAGCAAGGATTTGAACCCTGGCAGTCTGAGTCTAGAGTCCAATTTTTTAACCACATTGGTTTTGTAACCATAAGATGGGAAACCATGAATCAGTGCTTGGCATGTCCAAGAAATCAAAAGGTGGCCAGTATAATTGGCACAAAGTAGAATAACAGCAAATGTGATCTGTGGCAGGTACCAGGGAATTAGACCACGTGTGGCACTTCCAGCCACTATAAGCACCTTGATTTTTACGTCTAATGATGTAAAAATGAGAAGCCACTGGGTGGCATGACCTGCCTTATGTTTTTAAATAATTACTTTGGCTTAAGAGTCGAGAGTAGATTAGAGCAAAGGTAAGAGCAGTAGAAATGAGATCTTCTAAATCAGAAAAGGGTAAAGAAAGAATAATGAGGACCTGAGGCATAAACTTCAGGAATAATACAAATGGCAGAAGGGTGTAAAATCTAAAGTGCATCATGAGCCTTAAAGCTAGAACTTGTGATTCAATTCTTTGTTTTCAAATTACTAACTACATATAATTATATGTAATATTATTTGTGTCATATATTATAACACTTATTATGTTAATACATAGTAAACACTATATTATTAGTATATCATTACATTATATTGACTAATTAAATATATTTCTTAACTTCTTATCTCAGCTTCCAAGTCCTCTTCTACAAAATACAGATAATAATATATAACTTGAATGGCTATTACACAAATCAGTCACAAAACTTTTATGCCATGATGCAAACAATAGTAACTAATGTACAACTATCATTGTTATCATCATCATGTGAGATGTTAAAGAATGCAAACTGAAGACTCAGAGATGCTTTTATCTCCTCAAAATCTCACAGAGAATTAAGTGGGATGAAAACCTAGTTGTGCTGTTTTTAAGCTAAACACCCATATTCAAATATGCACTTGAGAAAAATCTGAACATCTGTCTCTCTTAGCTTGCATTCAGACAGTCAGATGACAATCTATATATACTTCTTTCTTGTGTAATATTATTGACACAATCAGGGGAGAAAATAGTGACTGATCTCTCTAATGCACAAGCAATTAATAGATATAGTGTGAATAAACTGAAGAAGGAAAGAGGAGTACTCTTGTATACGAGGATCCAAACACGATTTCTCAGTTTGCAAAGTCACTGAGAATGCTAGGATGAGGAGGAGGGAGCAGGAGCCTTGCCATTTAATATTTATGTGGCTCTGATGATCTCAAACAACTACCTGTACTGTTTCTCTCTTAACTTTTTCAGCCTCAACATTGTTTATTTCTTCTTTATGATTTTTCTTCTCTTCTTCTTCAAGTTTGCTGCAATACAAAAAGAGGATATAGGCTGAATATGATTCCCTACTCTTTTTGGAAGTAAGTTTTTAAAAGGAATGAGGATCTTGCAAACCAATAGATTCAGTCTTCAATGCAAATTTATCTGGTCTGAGAGATGCTTTTGCCTTGACCAATAGTGCAGATAAATTTAGTTGTTTACATACCCCCTCTAAAGAGGAATAATGATAAAACAAGCATGAATCTTTATTAGTCTGTGGCCCTCAGACGATCTTATTTTCTGTAGGTCAATAACTTTAATTAGCTTTCTGAATAAAGCTACAATTGTCTTGATTTTATTTTACTTGTTAAACTTTTCCTCTCCAAATAGCTACCATATCAGTGATAAAAGAAAAGGGTGATGCTAAGTCAGATGATAGGCTCGAAGTCATAATAAACCATGTTTCATTTTAAACTGAAAATTTTAAATATTATTTCAGTAGAGCTAATATTTAAGTTGAAATTTAAGGATTGGATTGCAGTAGCGATTCAAGTCCAGTAAGATTCAACTGCTAATATTTTGAAGTTGAACACAAGTCTAATATTCTGGTATTCTTGTCATTTTCTACTGACATATAGCATGTTAACGCTGGAATATCCTTAGCATGTACTCCATTTAGTCATTACCACAACACCAGCAAATTGAACAGGTGGGTGAAAAACCCTGGCTTCTTGAATTTCAGGCCACTGTTTCTTCTAGTGCTCTGCTCTGTCAAGCTCTCCTCTTGAGGAATTGCATGCATTCACTTAAGGACTAACTTAGATCTAACTTGGATCAAGACACGTGAAAGTTGGGAGACATTAACTTTGCACCTCAACAGGGATTATTTAAATAAATATTTTTCTCAACATTTATTTTAGGATTAAGTTCAGGAGCAGATTAAGAGCCTAAAAAAGGAGGAGAATTAGAAGTGATAATAACTGACTTCTATATTGTCCCACAGGATGGAGCTCTGGTCACAGGCTTACCTACACCACTCGGCAAAACAAAGGCCCTGAACCTGGCTTACCAAGGGACATTTTAGTAAACATTTAGGGTATGAGCCTGTTGCCTAAAGGTTTTACTCCACAATAATCCACTTAAGAATGTATGCATTATATAGTAATGACCCTAAAAGGATAAATAACAATCCTCCCTATTCCATTTCTTGTTCAGGCTATTTTAATAGTCCTTATATACTGACTTCCATCTAGCTGGTTTTTCCTTAGCTCCTATCTAAATAGACTAATAAATCATAAAATGTCAGGAGTGGGAAAGAGATCAAAAGATCATCCAATCCAAATCATGAAACTTCTGATCTCTCTTTTTACAAATAAATATTATCAAGTGTTAAAAAATTAGCATTAAATTTAATTAGAAAATAGGAGGATAATTGAATAAAGTATAGTATTGTCACCATATGATTCAATACTATTTAATGTCCTGTCCATCTGCTTTTAAATCTTGCTAGCATACAACCCATGGTCTATACCCTACACATGCAAGAAGGATCTGCGACCAGGGGCGATCCCTGATGAAGAAATTCAGTGGGAGAGTTGGGGTGGGCACTCACAACACACTGGCACACATGGCACACTTGTTTCCATGTATTTTGCCATCTGGGCCGTGGACAGGATTATGCTCCCTGGTGCATATGAGTGTCCCATTCCTCACTTGGTCCCGAAATTCATTGCAGATTTCCTAGAAAATGAAGAAAATGTTTTCTCAGAGTAGTTTTCTATCCTTCCTGCATCTTTTCCTATTGTGAGGAATACAATAATGTAATGCAGAGTAAAATGTAAAAAGAAAAGTGATAACATGTCGTAGTAAATCAGTTAAGTATTTTTAAAACTTCCATCATAAACTCAGAATTATCCTGGCACTATAGCAGATCTGAAAATAGATACATGTTCTGTTGCATACCATGGTCTATAAAAGCTAAGGAAGATCAGAGGTGGGAAGATTCCATAGGCAGGCCTAAATGAAAAGCCTTCCTGGAGGAAATGAGAATATTGCTCACCCATGGTTTGTCTTTAGGAGGCTGAGAAAGAAGAGAAAAAACATGCTTAACTTAAGAAATAAATATATATCTTGTCTAGATATGGTGGCTCACACCTGTAATCCCAACACTTTGGAAGGCCACGGCAGGAGTGCTTGAGCCCAGGAGTTTAAGACAAGCCTGAGCATGATAGAAAAACTGAGTCTACAGAAAAATTCAAATAATAATAATAATAAATTGCCAGGTATGGTGGCATGTGCCTGTAGTCCCAGCTACTCAGGAGGTTTAGGTGGGAGGACCACCTGAGCCCAGGAGTTTGCAGTTGTAATGAGCCATGACCGCACCACTGCATTACAGCCTGGGCAACAAAGTGAGACCCCGACTCAAAAATAAATAAATAAATTTTAAAAGACATATCTTTATAAACAGAGAAGAGAACAAGTCTTATCCCTAGAGAAACTGACATATTTCTGGGAGTAAGTTGATTTAAAAAACTTAAATACTCGGAATGGGAGATATGGATTTGAAGCAAGGGGGTAGCAATAGGAGAGGCAAGAAGGAGAAATATGTTAATACCACTGGAAAATCTAAGAGGATTTGGCAGATGATCAAATATGATGGATGAAAACAAATTTTCAATTCTAATTGGTCAGTGAAAAGATAGCTTCACCTAACAGAAACACTTATTTTTAAAAAATGAGTCAGTAAGAAGGTAAATTTTAAACAGTGTCAACTTTTTCCCAAATAGTGATGAGGCTGGTACTGTTGCGGCTATTGCTAAGAAATAGAATAAACAGGCTAGGTGCCATAGCTCACACCTGTATTCCAGCACTTTGGGAGGCCAAGCTGTTAGAATCACTTGAGGTCAGGAGTTTGAGACCAGCCTGGTCAACATGATGAAATCCTGTTTCTACTAATAATACAAAAAAAGAAAAAAACAAAAAACAAAAAACAAAAACCATAGCCAGGCATTGTGGTGCATGCCTGTAGTCCCAGCTACTAGTGAAGCTGAGGCAGGAGAATCACTTGAACCCGGGAGGTGGAGCATGCAGCAAGCTGAGATCAGGCCATGGCACTCCAGACCGGGCAACAAAGCAAGACTCGATCTCAAAAGAAAAACAAACAAAAAGAAACAGAATAAAGAAAGGTAAATCTTGTATGTAGCTATTATATGATAGCTACACAAGATAGATTGGGCTCTGCTAGGTATAAAATTTTAAAATTATAAATGCATGGTGAGTGGACTAAAAATAACTGGAAAGTCAGAGACCCTACTTAATGATCTTAATTGGGTGCAAGAAAACTACTACTTGATCCATAGCTGGGTGGTTTCAAAGCTCAAATATGATAATATATGTGCTTTTGTTTTGTAAATTTGGATGATTGAGATCTTACGCTCTCTATCTGAAATAGTAGAGATATGAAAAATGTAAACTGAAATTAGTAAATGGTATAAGTTAATGTTAATACTCTAACAACAGAAATCTAATAAAAGCAAAATATGGGGAAAATTCCTTGCAAAAAGTTAACAATCTAATTTTTATGAAATAAACTCCTTTTTTTTTTTTTTTTTTTGAGACGGAGTTTCGCTCTTGTTACCCAGGCTGGAGTGCAATGGCACGATCTCAGCTCACTGCAACCTCCGCCTCCTGGGTTCAGGCAATTCTCCTGCCTCAGCCTCCTGAGTAGCTGGGATTACAGGCACGCACCACCATGCCCAGCTGATTTTTTTGTATTTTTAGTAGAGACGAGGTTTCACCATGTTGACCAGGATGGTCTCGATCTCTTGACCTCGTGATCCACCCGCCTCAGCCTCCCAAAGTGCTGGGATTACAGGCTTGAGCCACCGCGCCCGGCTGAAATAAACTTCTAAATTTGAATAATTATAAGATAAAATTGATATTCTGGACACTTCTAATCAAAACCCTTTTTGTTCAGGTTAAAAGTGTTCTTCATTCATTCTAGGCATGAAAATTAAACAGAAAACATTTATTCTAATGAGATGAATAGAGTACCATTGTAAAGAAAAGAAAAACGTCAGGGTACAGCATCAGCATTCCTGAGAATATTACCTTTGCAGTTTCTCTTTTAGCCTTTGCTCTTGCTCTTTCTTCTTGTTGACTGTAAGACACCAAAAAGAAGAAGAGAGAAGAAATAGATCTTACTAGAATAGATCCTTAACTTTCATAGCTTGATTACTTATTGCTTTGACTATTCTCAAACAATGCCAAATATCTACCCATAATAGTTGATAATTTTATTAGACAATAAACAATCATGGTTCACTCTACCTCAAGAGGGTGGTGTGCAAGAAAAAGCCCCTGAATTAGGGAGTAAATCTGTTTAACTTCCCAGTATATGCATTGCAATAGTACTTTCGTATTTGCCAATTCTTTTGCATGTGTGATTACTCTTTATTTAGAGGTAATATTTATTTTGAGAGGCAGTATAGCATGATGGTTAAGAGGAAGGACTCTGGAGCCAAATTCTGTAAGGAAAACAAGAAGTACCTTAACCTTTCTGTGCCTTCTTCATCTTTAAGTGTGTGTGAAGGAGAAGAGGTAACAAAAGTATCTTTCTTACTGGAATGTTATGAGCATTAAATGAGTGACTACATGTAAAGCAATTAGAACAGTACATGGTACATAATAGAATAATTGGTATAATTGTGATAAGGGATTGACATCATCATTATTGTAATTATTGAAAGGAAACTTTCCTTCCAAAATTAGGCATATGATGGAAATGAAGTGAAAGTGATAGATGATACATTTCAAATAGCTAATAGTGTTGCAATTTGAGCTTCCTGGATAGGATCTATAGCATAATTGGATATATAAAACACAAATAGTTCAAAATGTAGAATAAATGACATAATTTGTGAAAATGTTTTAATGTGTTCCAATCAACAAAAGACTTGCTTATAGATTAAACTAAAACTTTTTTTAAAATTGAAAAGACTGTTTTCACATGGTATGAAAGTGTGCAAAAACTAACTATGGAGGGTAGAATAATTCTCAAAAAAAAAAATCAATCACCTTTGTTAACGTCTCCATAAAACATGAGGTGATAAAGGTATATTCCTTTTCAACAAAGAATTTATATATTTATGGGATAAACTGACTAAAATAGATCTAAAATTATGGGATTTTTCATACTTCTTTATATGAAAACTGATCTAACCTTTACCATGAGTCTAAGTTGACTAAAACATTTAAGCAGCATTTTCTTTCCCCAGTGGCCAATTGTCAGAGGAAGCAGCAAAGATGACTACTTAGAGGCAGAATTAGTTGCTTGTTACTGAAAGAGTAATGTAAAGGAGAAGAAAAAAAACAGGCTGAAAGGCCTTGCTAAGTGATTATTTCCTGTCTATATCCCAAATCAAGAAATGCGTTTTCTTTTTCTTCATCTATAAGTCCTATATCCTGTCCTTACTTCATCATTCCCAACTGTTCTGGTCCTTAGGTTTGTTTTTTGTTTACACTTTTTATCTGGTTTCATCTGTTTCATGTGGTTGTTGTGAAAATTAAATGAGATTAGGTAGCAAAGCTCTTAGCAAATGCCATATAATTATATGCATTCAACAAATGTTTGTTGTGATAATTATATGGTCATCATCTTAACTTTCCTTCTAATAGATCTATAGTACTCCAAGCCTCAAATGCTACGGGAAAATATGCTGGATTATATGAATAATAAATTAAGTCCTTTCTAAGATTCTTGGCACATGGGAAATACAATGGGATATTTCTTTAGCCAAAAAATCAAGTGTTGAAAAAAATCCTAGTCATGCCTTTGAAAGGCCATACCATGCTATTAATTCTAAAGACCTATTTTAGGCACCCTATAAATAGGCACCCAACTCCTACATAACAAAACTCCCATTCTTGTCTTTCTCTGCTTTATTACAAAGCCAGTCTTCGTTATGAGCCCAAATATTTCTTCCTATAGCTCTTTTCCATTTTAATTATATTCCTTAAAATCACATAGAATAAGTAGGAAGAAAGGTAGTGAACAAAAAAACTCATAAATTTTCCATGCATTCTAATATTTTATATGTAATCATATGTATTTCCTATTTCATCTGATAATTTTTTCATAAAACTAAAGGCAATTAGTATAATTATCATGAAGTATTCTCTTCTCTGGGTGAATGATTCTAGGTTACTTCTGAAATGCTATAGAAGAAATTATTCTGCACCTCATTTTTTTAACTTGTGGTCTTACTTGACAAATAGTAATTGTACATTTTAATGTAATTCAATGTGATGTTTTCAAAGATGCATATATTGTGTTGATTAAATCGAGCAATTTACAGAGTTGTCCCACAATACTTATCTTTTTTTGAAAGATTTAAGGACATTTATAATTTACTCTTTTAATAATTTTGAAATATATGATACATTCTTATTAACTATAGTCACTATATTGTTGTCCAATACATTCCATATACGTATTCCTCCTGTTTAAAACTTTGTACCCTTTGATCAACATCTCTTCATTCCCAAACCCCATCCTTATCTACCCCCATTCTCTGGTAAGCACCATCCTACTCTCTACTATAAGTTAGCCTTTTTTAGATCCCACATGTAAGAGAGATCACACATGATATGTTTTTCTGTGTCTGGCGTATTCTGCATCTCTTTATATCATAATAGTTATAATCAGAAAGCACTCCACTTGTTTGTTGCTGCTGTTGTTTGTTTTTAGTCCATTTAAATATGACACCCAAAACTGAATGCTACGCTGAAGAAGAAAATGCATTATGCACAATTGTTTGAAAACTTCTTGTGGAAATTCCCACTTCTTGTGGAAATTCAGTCCTCAGACTCTATGGGTCTACGGCTCTACTCACAAGAGGGCCTCACACATGGAGCAGGTGTTGCCATGCATTTTCCCATCTGGGCCCTGGATGGGGTCATTTTCTCTAGTGCAAAGAAGCGGTCCATTTTTCCTGGATTTGCGGTATTCACTACACAACTCCTGTGAAATTGAGAAGGGAAGTTGATAGTGTTGAACATAGGTTGAATCAGATTGCAAAAATAGCTGAAGCTTATACATTTTTTCTTAAATGAGAATCAGCGATTGGCTTATTTTAGAATGGTTAACTTTGAAGGCATGGCTTTTTTAAGTGATAAAAGCAATGAACCCCTCAACCAAGAAATAGTCAGATATGGACATGCATAACTGCACACATGCAAACACACATGAAAACACAAACTGCACAATTGTTTCATAAAGTTTTAAGGAATGCATGTGTTCCCCGAATATGATCTGTGGATCCTCAGTGCCATGTCCCTCAGAGTTACTGAAGGAGATTCACTCACCTCAAAGGAAGCTTTACTCTCAGATTGTCTTTTATTTCTTGATTCGCCTTCCTTCTTTTTCTTTTCTTCCTCTTCTGCTTGGCTAAAAGGGTATGGTTAAGAAGAGATGAGTAAAAATCATAGAATATCCATATTAGAAGTGATCTCAAATGTAATTTAATTTTACACTTAACAGTGATTAAATTCTTATAATGTGATATGCCTAACCCTGTGCTTAAAACACTGTGAAATCCGCACAATTATATTACAAAACTAGTATTATATCTCCAAATTACAAATTAAAAAACTGACAGACAGAATGCATAACTCACTCAAAGACATAGAGATAATAGTATAGTGGAGGGATTTAAACCCTAGTCCAGAGGTGGTTTTCTAAATTTCCAGTACTCACTACTGTATCTCTAATGACTCTCAAGCCTTTTCTTTAATCTGCCTGTAAAGTCTACTTATATCATCCTTAGCACTCCGTGGTAAATCACCCATCTTTGAAATCCTCAAACTGTCAGGAAGTTCTTCCTGGAATCCAGTGGGAGTCTGTCTTCCAGGGCTTTCATCCATTGGCCCATTGGCCTCACTTTTATTCATGGAGATAAACTAGAATTTATCCTGTTTCCACACTTAAAAACAAAAACTACTTGAATATTTCAAGATTGTGACTTTCCCTTTGCTTAAATATGAAGTCTTAACAATCTTCCAAGGACATGGATTTTTAACTACATGTCTCCAATCAGGCAGTTTCTCTAAATATACTTTAATTCTTTCATTTTTATGTTGAAGTAGCCCTCTCATAACTGAAAATGGAAATAAAGTTGAAAGAACAAAATCAACCCTCATGTTCCCAGCTGCAGGACTACTCACAAGAAGATCTCACACATGGAGCAGGTGTTGCCATGCACTTTCCCATCTGGGCCCTGGATAGGATCATTTTCTCTGGTGCAAGCAAGTTTTCCATTCCTCACAAGCTTTCGGTATTCACTGCAAAGTTCCTGTCAAGATAGAACAAGTAAGTTGGCCATATTTTTCATTTCTACTTTAAGCAGAAGATTCAAACATCTACATTGGCAGAAACTAATGTTAAGTCTCCTTGAGCTGATGATTTTAATTGTGTTTTTCTCAAATATAAAATTCAATTCAACAACAAGAAAAATATCATATGCTAAGAGAGAGGAAAAAAATAAATATAGTATGATGACCTGATATAATACAAGCAATACACAAGCAAATTCCACTATAATCCAAACATAACAAAATAAGTACAAACATGTAGGGTACAAGAAAATCTGAGAACTCAAAGTTTGGAACCATGAAATCTGACTGTGGAAACCAGGGAAGATGTCAGGGAGCAAGAATAATTTAGGTGAGACCCTGAAAGTATAAATAGGATTCGACTGGGTGAACAAAATGAATTGGAAAATATGCACACAACATTATGAAAATAAAATAGCTGAAACACATAGATAGGAAGTGACATGGCACATAGCAGAGCATGATTTTCTGAATGGAGATAAAGGTACAAATAAGAAAAAGATAATGAGATTAAAGTATATCCTGTATTTGATGATGAGCTGCTTGTGGGTTTTAAGCAGAGCAGTATTATGATCTGATTTACATTTTGAAACATTATTCAAGCTGTGTTAGGGAGACTGGTTGGACAAGGGAAAGGATAGAATCCAGAGGAAAAATTAGGAGACTTTTACCAGCAAAACCATAGGTAATGATAACTGAGCTAAGTCTTTGAAAACAATTATTGTAATATTTTAGGGATAAAAATCCTGCTTTGGGGGGGAATCAAGGTATTTTTCTCTCAAATTAGATGTGAAATGTCAGAAATTCATATGTAGAAAGCATATATGTAGAGTTTCTCTGGAAAGTAGTTAGCAAAAGCTAATAGTCTATAAGTGATAAAATTAGAACTCAGTTTTTTTAGCTTTTAAACGATTTTTATTTAATTTTGCGGAGTTAGTTTTGAATTAACAGGAAGGAACCAATCTTCCCATATAATTCATCTCAATACCATCCCCCAGGTTGAAGAGTTAAGGTATTCTGGGGATTTCTGCAGGGCAAAATCTCAGCCTTTAGGCTCTTAAATTTTGTTCAAATTATAGCATCAAATAGGTTTTATTGGATGGATTCTACTCACTGCATACGAGGTTGCTTTTCCAGATTGTCTTTTATTTCTAGCTTGTGCTTCAGCCTTTTTCTTTTCTTCAATTTCTGCTTGGCTGAATAAAAGAGAAAATGAAGAAGATCCATTAGGAACAAACATATGCCTTGGTTTCTCCACCTAATTGCACTGATAACTGTTCTTCCTCCTTAGGATGGAAAAATTTTGTCCCTTTATCACTATGTATCAATAAGAAGCAACAAACTATCCTCCAGTACAGTATGATACTATGATTCCTTCTTAATGTCTGTTTAATGTTGAAAAAAAGACAACGATAGTGGATCTGGGAAACTTGCTTTCTGTAAAATAGCTTTCTTGCCTATAGTGAGAAAAGGAGCATCATCAATGTTCATCACAGGCACCAAAACTGAAATTATGGTGACATAACACCTGAAGACTGAAAGTGGCCTTAACAAAGCATGTCTACTCATCCCCTTGTTTCTCAGAGAACATGAGAAGTAGAGGGGGCCTTGGCTGCATCTCAGGATGGTAGAGGCTGCATCTCAGAGGTAGAGGGGGCCTTGGCTGCATCTCTTCTTCTTCAAGTCCATGGTCTATCTACCACACCGTGCATACCCTAGCTTTCCTTTAAACGTAAATATTTTGCTTACTCATAGCTGTTTTATCTAAAGGACGAGATGTGAGGGAAAAAAACCATAATTTCCATATACTTTTAAATAAGCTTAAATTTACTTTGTACAATGGAATTGCACAGTTATTTGCACAGTTAATTGTACAGTTAATTGATGATATTTCAATCATATGTAGTTGTCAGTCAAAACAAAAAAAGCCGTAGATTCTATATTAAGTTAAATACTTAATTTGAGCTCAGCCAAATAAAATGAAAGCTGTCTTAAATTTTGAAAGAAAATTGTCCATTCTAACATATCGAGACATGTCACACTTTACAAAATAAAACCCAGTGTAATTTTATAGGAGTTTAGTGTTGTTTCATGGGCAGTTTGACTTTATTCCATTTCTACATTAAGCTCCACCTTTAGACTCTTGACTCCCACAGAAGATGAGATACCTATAAATTTCTAAAACAGGCTCACATGTGAAGTTTCAGAAGTGAGGGAGCAACTAATATTTATATAAGTTCATGTTTGTCAGGACATTCCAGTGCTAAAAGAGGGAGTGTCCAAGGAACAAGGCGTCTTTAACAAATAACTCTAGGTACTTACTCCCAGCTCTATTACTGATATTTTCCATGTAACTTATTCAACTCACTTCCCTGTCTTGAGCCACAGTTTCCCCATCTATGAAACAAGATGTTTCTATTAAATAACCTGCAAGATCCCTTCTTTCTTTGACATTCTAAAACTCTATACTCACAAGTAGGCTTGACACATGGAACACAAGTTGCCATGCATTTTCCCATCTGGACCACGAATGGGGTCATTTTCTCTAGTACAGAAAAGTATTCCATTCTTTGCTTGATCTTGATATTCACTGCAGAGTTTCTGAATAATGAATATGAGATAGTTTAGATATAGTTCTGTTTGCTGTTTATTAATGTTACATGTTATTTTTACAAATTGACTGAAAAAGAGTCATCAAAGGATGAAAAAAAAAAAGGTTAGGATTTAGGGCCATCCAAAAATTGTGATATTTCTCTCCTTGTAATATCCATTTGTATCTTCAATAAATGTTTAAGTTAGGAATATATAAACATAAATGTGATATAGTTATGTTCCTTATCAGTCAAATGGAAAGGATAAGTAATTGCAATATAAAAAGCTAAGAAATATAATACTAGTCTGAATTAAGTGCGTATGAACATAAAGGAAAGAATAATTCATGGACGCTCAGAGAACTTATGTCTAAATTCTATCTTGAGAATATATTCAGGAACATCATGTGGCAAAAAGGCCATCTAAGAGGAATTAAATAGGCAAACACACAGAGGCATGAAAGAACATGTTATTTTGTGATAATCTAACATATTTATGAATAGAGTGGCTAAATAATTAGTTGGATAAAGAGATTATTCAGGAAATGGTCAAAAGGAGACTTTGAAAATCGAAGACCATTAAACTTTGAAAGGAATTTGGATATTACTTTTAGGCAATGGGAAAATTATAAATGTTTATAGAAGAAAATGGCAAAATCAAATCTTTGTTTTATGAAGTTTATCAACCAGATGTGTGGAGGATTTGATTGACTAGAGAGTGAAGTCAGAGACACTAATCATGTTATAATAAAAAAGAAAAAGAGAGAGAGGGAGGAAAAGAGAAAGGAAAGGGAGAAAGAAAAGGAAGGTGGGAGAAAACTGGAAATAAATGATTAAAGAGTAGCTGAAGGACATTTGAGTATTAAAAGAACTTGGTAATCTAGGACTGAGGGGAAGAAAGCAGTTCAAAATGAGGCTTAGACTAAGTATAGTGGCTCATGGCTGAGTAATCTTAGCACTTTGGAAAGCTGGGGTGTGAGGATAGCTTGAGAGTGGGCGGTCAAGACTGCAGTGAATCATGATCCCACCACTATACTACAGCCTGAGTGACAGAAAAAAAAGAAAGAAAATGGAGTTACATAGGCAGAAGGTGGCCTGATGGGGTGGCTTACTTAGAACTGTGGATTGTGCATCATAGAAGTCTGGAAAACTGTAAGAAATAAGTTAGGATTTCTACAGGAAGTGAAATGATCTGAATTTCTCCAACAGTGGAATTTTATAGCATCACTGACTCATGGAACCATAATATTTGTTTTCATAGTCTATGAAATGTAAAACAACATGGAGGATGAATTAAATCTTGAAGGCTGAGAAAGATGGAGACCAGCAATATATAGACCAGACATGATGCCAATACATCAATGCAAAACAAAACTATTAAATGTCTGAGCTAAGATGGTAGCAGTAGAAAAACAGAGAGATGACTAGTTAAGAGATGTTTAGAAGGCAGAGCACAGTATAATTTAAAAGGATGCACATTAAAATTCAATATTAATATTGGTTTTGAAGTAAATATCTTCACAATACCCACCACACATCGAAGAATACATATCGCTTTGAATTCAGACAATGTTTTGATATATTACCTTCATTTAGGAGTACAAAACTATATTATTAATGTGACTTGATTAATTTCCTCCAAATACAGCTAGAGATTGTAATGCCATAATTTTTTTAATCTAAGCTTCATAAAAACAATAACTATAGTTTCCAGCAAACCTACTAGTAGTGGGGAAAATATTGAACAATACTGAAAATGCATACTACATAATATGCACTTACACACACACACACACACACACCCTCACATACAAGTTATAACTAGATTGATCAAATTGATTCTCACCGCAATTTCTCTTTTAACTTTAGTTTTTTCATCAGCCTTTTCCAAATTTTGATCTGTTTTACCATTTTCCTCTGAAAAACGCTGCTTGCTGGAAAAAGAAGAATAAATCAGTACAGATGCTTTCGAGCTTTATGTTATAAAACAGTCATTAGGTACAGATGAAAAAATCTAAGTTTTCCTGAGTTTTAATACAAACACTTTAAAAACACATCAAATCCCCAAAAAGACCCTTTAATTTCACTTTTATACCATTTCTTTCCACTAAATGATCTTTTTTCTCAGCTCCCTTTCTTAAAAGAAATTTAAAATTCTTCAGCTTACATTCTACCTTTTTGAAGAAGACATTCCAGTTCCCAAATACAAATAAGCTCTATGCCTATTGCTGTGTTTTTGTATCTGAATGTTCTTTTTCTTATACAACAGTTTTAATTCTATTTTGCAATATATAAATATGTGCACATGTCCGTGGCTTATTTCTGCTACTGAACTTAAGCTTCTTGAGACTGGGTAGTCATCATTCATATCTTCATTCTTTCATTCACTCATCATTTAGTAAGTAATTACGGTTTTTTGGGCAAATATTGACTGAGTCCTGGCCATGTAGTAGTACACCACATAAACACATACCCTGCCCTCTTGGAATTCTTGAGGCTGGTGGAAAAAACTGAAAGTCAACAAATAGTTGGAAAAATAACTGTATAATTGCCAGCTGTGATGGCGATTAGGAAAGAGAATTACTAAAGATTATGAGGATTTAATTTCAATAAGGGAGGGACTTTTGGAGTTCTTATCCAAGGAAAGATAATCTGAAATGTAATCTACAAGAAGTGACATCAGCTGGCCAAGACTGGGAGGAACTGGCGTAGGGCAGCACACAGGAAAGGGCTCATAGAGCTTGAGAAGCTGAAAGTGTCGTGAGACGTCATCTAAGACATCACAAATGTAGTAATTTGTATGTTGTGATATTTGCCCTTCTCCCAAGGTCACATGTCCCAGATAAAAAGATAAGAGTAACCCAATTAATGTATACGTCTGAAATAACAGAGTGTTTAATGAACACTGTTACTATGGGATAATTACTGAATAAAAACAATCGAAGTCTTGATACCCGCTTTTACCCCCATTCTATACTAGACTTAGTTCATAAAGAGGTTCGCAAAGGTCACAGGGCAATGTTAAGAAGTATGATGTAAGTCAATATTCCAACAGCAAATGGACTCCATTTGTTCTCAGAAATAGACACACATCAGTAGTGCCTACTCACTAGGCGGTATTACGATTTGTGGAGGACATAAAATTGCTCAAATTGTTCTCAACAACAAAGCTTCCTTTCAAAGTTATTTTTACTCATCAAGCAAATCAATCTCCACGTCCACCTTTTGAATCACTCCAAAAAAACTGTTTCTATACTCACAAAATCTCAGCACACAGGGCACATTTGTTGCCATGCATCCTGCCATCAGGGCCACGGACTGGATCACTCTCCCGTGTACAAAATAGTCTTCCATTTCTCACTTGTTTTTCATATTCCTTGCAAAGATCCTTTGAAAAGACAATTATATTTATTTTACTTCATTTCATTTCAGGTTATTTTATTTTTTGAGACATGATTCTGCTCTATTGCTCAGGCTGGAGTGCAGGAGAATGATTATAGCTCACTGAAGACTCTAACTTCTAGGCTCAGAGATCCTCTCACCTCAGCTTCCTAACTAAATGGGACTACAGACATGCACCACCACCACACCCAGGTAATTTTTTTTTTTTTTTTTTTTTTTTAAGAGACTCGATCTCATCATGTTGCTCAGGCTGGTCTTGAATTCCTTGGCTCAAGTAATCTTCCTACCTTGGCCTTCCCAAATGGTTAGAATTATAGGCATGAACCACCATACCCAGCCAACAGTAATTTTACTTACCATTTTTCTACTTTTTAATCTAGAAATTTTATAATAGTTTTATTATGACAAAACATCAGCTCTAGAAGTTGGAAAATACATACAACATACTAATGAGAATTACTAAGAAATAGTAATTACAATGTCAACTACTTGGCACTTATATCTATTATGTGGTATATTTATTAAAAGTTAAAATAGCCTCAGAAAAAAATAAGGCTGACTAATAATTTTATTGGATTAAAGCTAGATATTTCTTTTCATCTTTCAAATTAATGGGGGTCAGAGGGATATCTTTCATGAGGTTCCAGCACAAACACAACAAAATGTAGCAGCCAAGACAACATATATATATACATATATATAGTGAGATGAAATGTCTAAAGGTGACTTAATATGGACCTAGTCAAGAATAATCCAACCTAGTTTGTAAGTAAAAGGAAACACGATATTATTCAACAGTGTTATGCTTACTTCAGTTGATTTTCTCTATGGATCTGTGGATAATTTTTACGTATTCTGCCTTCTTTATCCATGATCATTTCTGACATCATAGGTGGAAACCTCAAAGAGAGTGGATCTAATTTCCTTCCACCCTCACTTTAGAGGGGTAGACCATCAAGACTGATACTGATTTAGAAAACCTAAAACAGAGTGACTTCCCCCCAAAAAAAATCCAAGAGAGATTTGTTTTCAGATTTCCTGATGCGTTGGTCCAATACTTTCAAGATACTTTCTGTGTTTTGAAAATTCTACTGTGTGGTGAGGGCTAAATTTTACAAAAAACGATACTCTCAGCTCCTCTAGGCTTGGGGATCTCTACACCATTAAACATTTGTGGTGGGATATAGTACTATAATAAGACCTACAAAGAAATCCTGGTCTATAACTTTTTTTCAACTGTGTGACCTTCGTCATCCCATTTCAAGCAAGAAAACACGGGCATAAAGAACATGCTGGGTGTCAAGTGACCTGGGCCACCACATTGTGCCTCTCATCCAACTGGGAGACCACAGCAAAGTCCCCTCGCCTTTGGGACCACAATCTTAACACTTCCACAATGAGGTTTTTGGAACAGATGTTCTGTAGGACCTTTTCTAGATCTTGCATTCTTTGATTTTTAAAAAAATAATTCAACTTCCACTGGGATGCTTTAACAGAGAATCTAACTGCTTCCTATTAAGAAGATATTTATTTTTGGAGGAGCAATGGGTGTGCTCCAAACTTCATGGTTGTAACAATCTAGAAATAGAGACACGGAAGACAGTCACCTGATAATCATAGCGTAGTATAAAAAAATTAATGCTCAATGATTCTCATAAAAGAAACAATGATAATTTCAGTTTATAAGTTGTGATTCATCCAAGGAGATTATGAAGAAACATTCTGTATACAACTCAGTGACAAGTTAATTATAGGGAACATATTGAGCCATCACAATAAAGCAGTCCTATTCACACGTCAGGCACAATGACCCCACCAAAACAATGACCTTAGCCACTGAGCGGAAGAGGGAAGCACAGAGAGACCTGATGAGCAACAAAGGATAAGAACTCTCTATGTCTATGAAGTAATAAAATGCTAAATATCACAGGATGACCCAAAGTTTTAGACTGAAATTTAGCAACCACCACAAAAGAATTGCTTTTCAATCCTTGGCAAGTGTGGCATAAACTGTAGATGGTTCTGAATACTTAGTTTTTCTAAATGTAAACCTTTGACACCCTATTTAGGATGAGAGCTTTGCTTCATTAAATAGCATTATGAACTGAAGGACCAGCTCTTGACTACCAAAAGTGGGCTTGTTTCTCCCTTTAGGAAAACATAAACCCTACAATCTGCAAAAAAGGAGTACACTTGTATTAGCACAAAAGTGATCTACAGGATATAGAAACACAGTCTGACAGTAAGGTAAAATTCAGGTCATATATCCAACCTCTTTATTTTGCTGACAAGAAAATTAAGGCCCAGGATGATTATTTGCTTAGTCTCCCACACCCAGAGCACGAAAAAACCAAGGCTAAAACTGAGGTGTTCTGACTTCTCAACAAAAGGTTAGCTATCTAGCAAAGAAAATGCTGTCTCTCTCATTGAAACCGGTGATTTAAGAAATCCAGGCTGCATTACCTAAAGTGCTCATTCAAATTATTTTATACTAGATTGAATAATTAAATTATCAAGTAATTCAAATTATTTTAAGGGCATTTTTTAAAACACAATCTAAAAATTCGTCCATTTTTTCTTTTTTTTAAGCAGAACCAAGAACTTTATAAATGCAGGTCTCTCTAAATAGAACAATCATAATGGCAAAGTGAATAACTTCAACTTGGGTCAATGTAATTACACATAAAATGCACCAGTGAATATAGTGTTTAAAAGACTGTGACGCTCTTTTAAAGTTATTCCTGTTTAATTTATATTATATTGAAATTTTTAAACAATGTATTCAGAGTAAAATGGTTTTACAACTAAACCAAAAAGAAAGCTGGTAGAAATTAAGCAGAACTTTGTATAAACTTTCTACTTTATACTTTCTGTTGGGAGCTGGAGGACTGGGGAAGCATAGATGGAAATTGCACATTTTGAGCCTTAGGTAGGAAATGCTGATTTAAATCTGAATCTAATGATTTATATTCTAGGAAGTCAATCTGGGGAATTTTGATATTAAGAAAAATATGTAATAATAAAAGGCAATGACTTTATTTCATTACTCAAAGGTTTAAGCATAAATTTGTTGATATTTATGGCCACAAGAACCAAACTGTGCTGGTGTGTCATTTTACCTTCTCAGCATTCCGTCGAATTCTAGTTTCGCCCTCTCGCTTGGCATTTTCAACTTCTTTTAAACTGTGAAGAAAAGTAAACAGTTGGTCAGTTTACGACGCAATCATATTGTCAGTATCCTCAGTCCTGTGCGACACACTTTCATGTCCTCTGTTACAACTTGCTGAAATGATCCACTTACAAGAGACAAGCATTTCCCTGTCTTCAATGTCTGAGCCAGAGAAATTGCCAAAGATAAGGAAGGGTGTGAAACTGACTCACTGACAGTCAATTAGAAGCTTTGTTCTGTAAAACTGAATGGGTGTGACACCTTGATTGACAAACAGAAGACTGTCAGGAAAATTCCCTTTAACAGGTAGAACCAAGAGCTTTAAAATAATGCTGTGACAAGGGTGAAACCAAAGTGAGCATTTGAGGCTTGCCATCCACACCCTTAAGTATAACTTTGTATACTTCATAAAGTATTTGTTTGCTTTTCATGTAAAAGTACTAGGTTGTTAATGAAAGCTACATTTGAATTGAGCTTTAAGCCCTTTCACGTATATCATTTGATTAGAGTCTCATCCTGGAGATAGGGTGGCTATTCCAGTTCCCAGAGGAAGAAACCAGGAGTTAGAGAGGTGAAGTTTCCCTTTTCACCTAATGTATGAAAAGAAAGAAAACCACAGAATTAGGGCAGATTTGAACACTGAGAGCACATGTCTCCTAGATAAGAAAGTGAAAATCAGACTGATTTCCTGTCGGGAAACCAGTTATCATCAACCTTTTGTAAACCTGATTGGACATGTCCTTGAATTCTACAAGGATTAACTGTAATTTTCAAAGGCAGGTGTGAAGTTTACTAATCTGTTAAATCTCTGTCCTGATTGTAAAGTTCCAGTGATGTAAATATAGCAATTTAAGGCTTCCTGGCACACAAATTAGAGAGTCTAACCCTTAACAACCAGAATATGAGAGATTGATTAGATCTTACTCACTTCTGTACCTTCAATGCCCAGGCACTGCCAGTCACTCAAAGATTAACCCAATAGTTTTCCTTTCATAATGTTCCATGTTCCACTTTCTAAGCTAATAATAGATGCAGACACATGGCATTATTACTATTATTATTTTAATTAGACTTACATTACTTAGTAAGGGTCTCTACACATGCCCAAATGAAGCAATGGATGTCATGATTCCGTTTCTTTTCTTTTCTTTCTTTTTTTTTTTTTTTTTGAGACAGAGTCTTGCTCTGTCACCAGGCTGGAGTGCAGTGGCGCAATCTCAGCTCACTGCAACCTCCGCCTCCTGGGTTCAAACGATTCTTTCGCCTCAGCCTCCCGAGTAGCTGGGACTACAGGCATGTGCCACCACCCCCGGCTAATTTTTTTTTTTTTTTTTTTTGTATTTTTAGTAGAGACGGGGTTTCACCGTGTGGGCCAGGATGGTCTCGATCTCTTGACCTCGTGATCCACCCTCCTCGGCCTCCCAAAGTGCTAGGATTACAGGCGTGAGCCACCGCGCCCGGCCTGAAGCAATGGATGTCAAAAGACTGACCTAGATTATTCCATATGAATGTGGTTTCTAAATTTTAAAATATTTGGCCTTATAAAACACTATGCATTTTCAAATTATTGTAATTTAAAAGACACAAAAGTCTTGAATTTAATAACTAACATGACCACCTTATTCTCTCCTTTTAAGAAACTTCAATATGAAGAAAAAGACAAGAAGCCGTTCTGTGAGAAAGGCTATTTCACATTGTAAAGACAAAGAATTGCATGCTTCAGGAACAGGATTTTATCTCCCTGAGGAGTGATTCTCAGGACAGTAACCAATTGCATCATCATCAAATCCACCTGTGTTGATGATACTTACAACAGCTCAGCACACATCGCACACTTATTGCCATGTGTCTTCCCATCAGGACCGAGAACAGGATCATTTTCCCTTGTGCATCCAAGTCTTCCATCCACTACATAGGGCCGAAAAGCACTGCATACATCCTGAAGATCAGGGAAAGGAACTTGAGACTTACCAAGATGGTAATGCTTACGACACTAGTTTCAGAAATTTTATAGAACTCAGTCCCTCTTACATTGCTACGGGCCACTTAGAGCAGTACCAGCTGTGTAGAAGTAGCTCAGTAAGTACTGAATAATTCATGTGGTTAAACATAAAACTCTTTTACTTTTTTTTTTTATTTGGGAAAATAACTTTTTATTTATTTCATTTATTTTTAAAATTTTTTAAATTTTTTTTTAAATTATACTTTAAGTTCTGAGATACATGTACAGAATGTGCAGATTTGTTACATAAGTATATCTGTGCCATAGTGGTTTGCTGCATCCATCATCCCATCATCAACATTAGGTATTTCTCCTAATGCTACTTGTTTATTCATTTATTTAGTAAACAGATAACCTACTATGTGCCAGAACTCAGACAGAGCACAGTCATTTCCCCTCAACTTGCTCCCAATCTCCTAGGTGATCAAAAGAGACATTACAAATAGTATGATGCTAAATGACTTGGTGGAAGTAACCTCAGGTGCTCTGGCAGCTTATAAAAAGAGCATCAGACCTTGAAAATTAGGAAAATCATTCACCTAGAAAAAGACAAGTGTGATATGTGTGAGATCCTTTCGTCCTTCCCCTTCCCCTACCATCACAGGCTCACAAAACTGCATCATAGAAAAAAAAAAAAAAGCTACTTAATTCAAATCTCATTTTAGGTTAAGTGATTTGTCCAAGATCTCCTAACAGCAAGTAACAATGCTAGGGTTTTAACTCAGGCAAAGTGACTGAAGTGTTGTGCCCTTTCTACTACACATGTAGTCTCCTTTTTTATTTCTTCTTCTTTTTCTTTTCTTTCTTTCTTTTTTAAATAGAAAGCAGAAATAGGATCAAAAGGTCTAACCACCAAGGTAATTTGATTCAGTTTAAGAGACTATCAATAGCTTTTTCACATTAGTGGGCAGTACTAGGTATTCCATTTCACTTAAAGGAAGAATTACTTCCTTTCAAGGTTCCCACTCAAGAAGAAAGACGAAAGCACCTACTTCCTGTTTGAAGTTAGCCTCCCGTATTTCCCAGACGCTGATGTTTGACCTCACCTTCTCTGGATTACTGCTTTTACATTCCCCTTCACTTTTTACACCAATTTTGGACCCGGTTTTCCTAGAATCGAAAGTTAGCAGACACAGCAGTTTAATATTACAACTTCCCACCATGCAAAACTAACTGGTCTACATTACATTGTCATTCTCTTTTGCTCCCCAAAACAGCTGCCACATTGTATTATTTTCTTACTTTTTCTAATAAGAGCCCCTGTTTATAACTTGAAGTCGAAGAAATGTAGTTAACATGGAAGAGATGGGAAGGATTCAGACTTGTAAATATTATTTCTAGAAATCTATTTTTAACCTGTGTTCCCAGGAGGGATCCACATCAGAAGACGAAGATGAGTAAAGCTTATAACTGGATAGCAGATACTCCTCAGCCCCCAAGAAGCTTTTGTTGTTTTCAATAAACAAAGTCAAATCTGTATTCCCTAATATCCCACTCTGCTACTCTTTATTTGGGTTATGCGGACTAGTATTTTATTTTTCATAAAAAGTATGTAAAGTTTTGATAATTAATTTTGTTCCGTCTAGTCGACCTTTAAGGTATTTATATCTGAAAACACGGATCCTCAAATGTAAGAGATAGTTCCTAATTTCTAAAAAGTTAAAGCAGGTTACAATGATAGCATCTGTAAAATAATAAAAATTTAATAAAAACAATGTAAAGAACAAAACTAAATATTTAAAAGTGATAAGAAAAAAGTTATTTCCAAGGATATCAGCTGAGGAACACTACAAAAATTAAAATTTCAATTTTATTGTAGAGCCTCCTACCAGCCAGAACTGCAAGGAAAACAACACGAGGAGAAATATGATTCTCATTGCATAGTATAAAGATATATACCAGGGTATGTTTGACAAACAAGAAGGTTACATAGGAGCTGTATGATTAATGTAAAGTGTTCTCTCTCTAACTTTAGTCTTTATTCTCAACCTTACAAATATCACATACTCGTAGCAGGGCGCGGTGGCTCGAGCCTGTAATCCCAGCACTTTGGGAGGTTGAGGCGGGTGGATCACGAGATCAAGAGATCGAGACCAACCTGGTCATCATGGTGAAACCCCGTCTCTACTAAAAATGCAAAAAATTAGCTGGGCATGGTGGTGCGTGCGTGTAATCCCAGCTACTCAGGAGGCTGAGGCAGGAGAATTGCCTGAACCCAGGAGGCGGAGGTTGCGGTGAGCCGAGATTGCGCCATTGCACTCCAGCCTGGGTAACAGGAGCGGAACTCCGTCTCAAAAAAAAAAATAAATAAATAAAAAACAAAAAACAAATATCACATACTCACATACACAGAATAAGAAAAATTGGCCGGGCCCGGTGGCTCAAGCCTGTGGTCCCAGCACTTTGGGAGGCCGAGGAGGGTGGATCACGAGGTCGAGAGATCGAGACCATCCTGGTCAACATGGTGAAGCCTCGTCTCTGCTAAGAATACAAAAAATTGGCTGGGCATGGTGGCGTGTGCCTGTAATCCCAGCTGCTCAGGAGGCTGAGGCAGGAGAGTTGCCTGAACCCAGGAGGCGGAGGTTGTGGTGAGCCGAGATCGCGCCATTGCACTCCAGCCTGGGTAACAAGAGCGAAACTCCGTCTCCAAAAAAAAAAAAAAAAAAAAAAAAAAAAAGAAAGAAAAGAAAAGAAAAATTAAGGCGGATGTTGAACAGTTAGAATACGTTGTGGACACAGGGAGGGGAGCATCGCACACTGCAGTCAGCTGGGACTAGGGGAGGGACAGCGGGAGTGGGTAGGGTGGGGAGGGATAACGTGGGGAGAAATACCAGAAACTGGTGACTGGTGGGGGTGGCGGGGGTGGTGGTGAGGAAGGCAGCAAACCACCTTGCCATGTGTGTACCTATGTAACAATCCTGCACAATCTGCGCGTGTACCCCAGAACCTAAATAAATAAAACAAAATCTGGAAAAAAAAATAAATAAAAATAAAGATATATACCAGAAATTCGGGGAGAGAAACCTTCATCTGTACCAGAGATTTAAAGATTTACAATGGGATTCCCCACATAAGATGCAGTAAGAATGAAATACATAGCATGCTAATACTTGTGCTACCAAATATATATCTGATTAAAATCTGTATATTTTTCATATATTTATGTTGGTTTTCTGTTTCTCTTTGTTGACCCTTGGCAAGAGTGCAGGACATAATATTTTTTCTTTTGTACTTTAGGTTCCGGGGTACATGTGCAGATCATGCAGGATCGTTGCATAGGTACACACATGGCGATATGGTTTGCTGCCTCCAACCCCCCCTCACCTACGTCTGGCATTTCTCCCCATGTTATCCCTCCTCGACCTCCTTACCTTCCTTGCTATCCCTCCCTTGGCCTCCCCCAAAAGACTGCAGTGTGTGATGCTCCCCTCCCTGTGTCCATGTGTTCTCATTGTTCAACATCCGCCTATGAGTAAGAACAGGTGGTGTGTGATTTTCTGTTCTTGTGTCAGTTTGCTGAGAATGATGGTTTCCAGATTCAACCATGTCCCTACAAAGGACACGAACTCATCGTTTCTTATGGCTGCATAGTATTCTATGGTGGATATGTGCCACATTTTCCTTGCAGGACACAATTTTAAAGTGAATTTCTGAAAGTACCATCATGCAAAGGAGGAGAGTAGTTTAATGCAGTTTTATTTTGCTGAAAATATTTATTGCAAGGAGAGCTAAAGTTTGCAGAATCTCAAAAAGTGAATAATTATGATGTCCCTCATTAACCTATACAAACATTGGTTTTTATGTTTGCAAAGCCTGAAGACCAGACAATTCAAGATTGAGGTCATCAGCCAGAACCTGCAAAGCCGGTATGTCATCTTGTTGGTGAAGACAATTGATAACCAAACCTAGCATTGAGGGTGGAGAAAGAAGAAAACAGGGACAAGATATAGGATGGTAAAATGCCTTAGCTATTTGGCAAATGTTGAGAGATGGGAAGAAAGTTTAATACTGAAAGTCCCAATTATCTACTCTGATATTAAAAATTATTAAGCACTTAGGAAATATAATTTGATGATGAAATAATTCTCTGTGAAAAAGGGTATACTCACAGATAAATAGATGACAGACAATGAATAGGTAGAAGATAGACAGATATGTATAGGTATATATGTCTGTGTATCTATATAAATATAATCTAAAACATATATTATAATTATATAATTTATTTTATAGATTGTAAAATATTAAATCTATAGTCTATTATAATATTAAACCTATATTTTCTTATAGATTTTAAATGTGAAATATATAACATTTTATAGATGAAAACATATCATCTGTAATCCCTCTATCCTGTCTACTTCATAAAGTGATAACCATCTGATAAATCATACATAAAAGTGCTTTGTAAAATATAAAGTGTTATGCTATATAACTTTATTGGTCTGAAGAGTAGAAAAAGAAGTGGTACTAATAATTTAGGAATGGCTAACCCCCAGACAATAAATTGTTATATTAAAGACTATAGGGAAAGCTGTGTCATGTAATTATAGAGAGAACATATTTCAGGGAGAAAACCTACTTCAGAGAATACTCACATATTCTCAGCACACAGTTCACATCTGTTGCCATATGTTTTCCCATCTGTGCCACAAACAGCTTCATAAATATCGAGACAGATTAAATCCCCGTCTCGTTTAAAATCATCACAATTCAGCTGCGAAAGACATGACCAAGGAACATCAAAATATAAGAGACAAAATAATCCTTAGATGTATAACTAGATTAACATTTTAAGCCCACAATAATGTAAATTGCTGGAGAAGAAAAACATATCATGGAGGCTATAGTGAGCTAATAAATTTAAGGGCAATAAAACATGATCCAAGAACAGAGATAAAATTAGATTTCAGAAGAAAGGATTTCAGTATCACTTAGGCTGTCTGGGTGAAGTAGGCCAGCTCACCTCTCTGAAGCTTGCTTGTCTGCCCAATCTGCCTGCCTTCTCCACAGAGGAGTAGTGATGCTCAGTAGATTATGAATATGAAAGCTCTTTGTTTGTAGTTTACAAACTACAAACTACAGTCAAGTTTCTGTTATTATAAATGAGGATAGTAATTAACAGCTAGATTGCTTGTTTCATATTCCTAAGTCTGCCACTTAAGCTGTATGACTTGCACAAGTTATTTTAAAAAACCTTATGCTCTAGCGTCCTCATCTGCAAGACAGTTGTAATTTCATCAACCTCTCAGCATTATATACAGATTTAAATGTATAGCACTTGAAACAGTGCCTGGCACAGATCCATTTATTGTTATTGTTGTTGTTGTAATTTTCAATGTTTTTTCTATTGACAAGCCAAGAAAACTAAACATCTTTAGGTAGAGCAGGAGAAAGCCCAAGTCTCTATACTAATAATATGACATATATTTGGGAACAAACCTGAATGGTAAAGGAAAACAAATGCACAAGGTAGTAACTGAAGAGTTGTGTTCAAGTCTCAGACCTGCCACCCACACACTTCATCTCTTTGCACCTCACTTTCCTCATCAGATAAATGGAAATTCACACCCTACCCACATTCCAGATTTGCAGTAAGGATCAAATGAATTCTTATGAAACATTATCTGGCATCATATTATTGTGACTACTAAAGCTACTAAAAAAGATATAGAGTTAACTTGATTTTAACTTTTATCTAAAACTTTTTATCTAAAGAAAACTGAATAATTTTTCATTAAAATATCACATTGAAAAATACAATTTCACATCAGCATCAAAATAAAGACATTTTAATGATAAATATGAAACACTTAGAATGTAGACTGATGGTGAATCAGTATTTCACACAATATAAAGGATAAAAGGCGGATACAGAAGATCAAGTTGAGAAAGTCTTATCTAGAAGGAAAAGAACTGAAAATAGGAAAGAAAAGCTAAAGAATATACTAAAATATTCATATGTTTAGAAAGAAGTTAAAAATAGGTTGAAACTAAGGTAAGTAGTGCCCATATATGTTATTTCGTTCATTCATTTGTTCATATTCCACAAAATTTACCACATATTATCTATGTTTCAGCATTCTTCTGGACTGTGAAGCTACCACAGGCGTGGTAGAAACCAGACTCTCCTTTTTAAGGAATGGACAGAAAGAAGGAAAGTCTGACTGAAGCATAAAGAAAAAGCAGGTAACTGGTTTTCTCTCAAAATTAGTTCTACCAAAACTGCAGAAGCATACAGAAATTATAGATCGAACTAATTAACTCAAAACAATCACTGCTATCCTCCTTCACCAGAAAATCAACAGCAACATACTAACGAGGTCACAGGTGTAGAGAGGGGAAGGACAGAGCAAGTCAAAAGGCCAGCTGGGAGATGATGAAAGCAGGTGCAAGGATTTACAACTCCACCTCCTTCCCCTCCAAACCTCAAGGAGGAGGATCACAACCTACAGAAAACACCTCTTCCTAATGTTGACAGTGCCTGAGAGCTTACAGATGGATTCCTGACCTGGTGAGTGGCAGCAAACTGGAGTGGGAAAGAGTGGATTCAGAACCTCCAGCCGTGGGTCTTGTCTCTTTTTCTATCTTTACACTCACCAAAAGGGCTACAGACCGAAGCTTGACCTTGAACATTACCTAGCTAAATTTAGCAGAAAAAATAAATACAGCCGTTATGAAATCTTACAATAAAAATAGCTGTGTATCTGAGAACTAAAAAATAGAATATACTAAACAACATGTATCAATTGAAGTAGAAGCACTGAAATGGGTAGAAAAATATTTTATCAAGTCTATGCTATAGAAAAATAAGAGAAGATATCTGAATAAACAAATATAAAACAATAACAAAAAAGAAGTTATAAAGGAAGAACAAAGTAGAAATTTTGAATATGGAAAATAGTCAAATGATAATAAATCTAACAGTATAAATAATAAAGTTGGGATAGGTACAAATAAATAATGAACTTGTGAACCAGATGATCAGGTCAAGGAATTCTCTTAGAAGGCAAAAGAAGTAAGAAACAATTTTTCTAAAAAAGGAAAAGCCAAAGGACATTTAAAATAGTATTAGAAGTCTCCAAAAGAAGGAAATAAGCATAGAAATAAATATTTGAAGAAAGGAACAATTTCTATAATTAACAAAAAATAAAAGAATAAAAGAGAGAAAAACAAGAATTTAAAACTAAAATCTAGTTAATAACAAAATTGTGTTTACAGAAAATAAACAGAGAGTAAATTAACATACATTCAGAGAGAAGACAAAGATACTGACAATAGACACATATATTAGCAATAGAATAAGTAATTAAAAGTATGGATGATTTGGTTAAGGATAGTCATACTAGGAACAAAAATAAATCACCACCCAAAAAAAGCTAGAAAGAAGAAACTACTAAGTATAGTAATTGAAAATACTTTTAAAATGGAAGAACCAAATCCTACTATAACAGAAATAACAATAAATTTAAATGAGCTAAACATACAATTAAGAGACAATTAGTAATTGGATGTTTCAAAAAAGGAATCAAACCATGTATTGAGAAAAATTAAAACTAAAGGCATGCTAGTATCAAACTAATAAGATAATAAAAATATACAAGACCAAAATGAGTAAGAAGAGAGCATATGCAGGAATATTAACACTTAAAAATTATAATTTAGTACAAAAATGCATTATAAGTGACAAAGAATGACAATATATGAAATTTTAAAAAAGACAAGAACAAGAACAGGAAAGTATAACAATCATGAGCATATATTCACCTAATAATAAAGACTTTAAATATGTCAAACAAGAACCAATAAAATGTAATAGCATTAAGGCCTGGCACGGTGGCTCACGCCTGTAATCCCAGCACTTTGGGAGGCCAAGGCAAGCAGATCACGAGGTCAGGAGTTTGAGATCAGCCTGATGAACATGGTGAAACCCGGTTTCTACTAAAAATTCAAAAATTAGCCAGGCATGGTGGTGTGCACCTGTTATCCCAGCTACACAGGCGATTGAGGCGTGAGAATCGCTTGATCTCAGGAGGTGGAAGTTGCAGTGAACCGAGATCATGCCACTGCACTCCAGCCTGGGGGACAGAGCAAAACTCCATCTAAAAAAAAAAAAAAAAAAAAAAAAAAAAAAAAAAAAAAAAGAAAAGAAAAGATAGAAAGAAAGCAAAAAGAAAAGAAAATCAATAACTAAAGTTAGAGATATAACCAAACACTTCTCAGAAATTTAGATATAAAGTAGAGAAAAAAAGAATCTTAAACCATTACATTTTTATAGAAAAGTAAAGAAACAGAAAATAAACTTTTTAAAAAATAATATATTAAACCTTCATAAAAGCAGAATATTTGTTAGATCACAAAATCTTAAGAAACAACATATAATTGATACTACATCGTTTATGTTCTCTGACCAAAATTTAATAAAATTAAAAGCTAATATAAAATATTTAAAAGTTCCACATATTTGAAAATTAGATAATTTATTACTAAATAACTTTGGGGTTAGAGAAATTGAGAAATGTTTGGAAAATAATGATAAATAGAAACACTTAAAGTATAAATTTTAAGATGATTATGAATATCTTTAAATATATTTGTCAGAAATTTTTTAACAATTAAATTTAAAGAATAAGGTATTCCTCAATCCCATTGTAAAATGAGCAGGAATAAACATAAACAGGAATTAATGCCATAGAAAACAGAAACAATTGAGAATATTATCAAAAAAGCTGATATAAAAGATTTCTAGTAGGACTTACCAAAGAGGAAAGTAATATGAAAAGTAAAAATATACGGAATGATAATTTAAAATAACCATATAAATATTGAGACATTAATACAATGAAAAGCATTTTATGAGTATTACTATGTTAATACATTTGAAAACCAAATTGAATATATGACTACAAAAAGTATAAAATAACTACATTTGTTACACAGGTCAATAAACATTAATCCAATTGATATATTGGTCTGAGATATTCCCACCCCAAAATAACTCAGTCCCAATAGCTTTATAATCTGTTTTTCTGAAATTCTAGGAAAACTTGTATTAAATAATAATTGTTTACATGTTATTTCAAAGCAGTTACAAGTATTTAAGCTGAAAAATAAATTTCTAAACAGCTTTACTGAAGCATTACTTAAATAGTATAAAATTCACCAATTTAAATGGATTTAAAGTGATTCAATGATTTTTATTAAATGAATAGAGTTGTACGACCATCATCAGAACTTGGTCTTAATATATTTTCATCACCCCACGAGACTCCCCTGGGCTCTTGTACAGTGTGTCCCAGCTCCCAGCTTCAGCTTCAAGCCGTCATTAAATGTTTCTCTGACTCTATATAATTTTTCTTTGAATGTTTCCTATAAATGGAATTATAAATCTGTAATTGTTTAATTCTAGCTTTTTTCACTTTGCTTGGTGTTTCCGAGGTTCATCCACATTGCAAGATTGTCAGCAGCACATTCCTTCTTATGGTTGAATAATATTTCATTGTATAAATATAGTTCATTTTGTTTATCCATACACCAGTGGACAATCGGACATTTGGATTGTTTTTAGTTTAGAACTATTAAAAATGTTGCTATGAATATTCACATGCCTGACACTGTATGGACATATATTTTCATTTCACTGAACTCCTAGGACTGAATTTTCTGGATTATATGGTAAATCTGTTTAAATTTTTGAGTTCTCAAACTGTATTCCAA